GAACGGCGCATCGGTGCGGAGCGCCAGACTAACTACTAGGAGCTATACGAGTAGTACCTGCAGGGTAGAGTAAAAGACAATAAGGAGAGACTAGAACGAAAGAGTAAAGACAATAATGAGAGACTAGAACGAAAGGATATGTGTAGCGAGAAAGAACAATAAGAGAAAGATTACAATAAAGGTAGATCTTCGGAGTACCAAGCGGCGGGATGGAGGCCCGAGGCATGGACTTGACAACTAGACAAAAAACAACAAAAAAAGAATATAACAAAATCGTACTATGGAATACAAGCAGACTACAACGCGGGACTGGATCTTTCATTCTTAACCGCCACATCGCCCTGCATCCTAGCTTCAAACTCCTCACAGGACTCATATAAATCCTCGCCATCGTCATTGATCATTGTGAGGTCAATGATGTGAGGAACGACAGGGACAGACGGGAGTAGAAGGGGAGACGAGGGAGAACGAGAGGCAAGGAGGAAAAGAGGAGTCTGAGCCATGGCAGGAGGATCCCTGTCGTCCTCCTCCGCGGGTGTTGTGACGTTCGGACAAAGAGCCACACCTGCCTCCCCTGTAACCCCCACAACCTCCCTAGGAGCATTTTCGTCATCCTCCTCTGCTAAAACAGAACCTTCTAAAGGGGAAGGACTGCCCCCAACGACGGTAAGATCTGCGGAAGTGGGAAAGAAGTAACGGGGTCCTGGGGTGTCAATCATATCGCGATGAGATGTTCCCAGGAGACCATAATAGAATCCATAGCAGGGATGGCGGGGAGGTGATCGGATGTAGGAGAAGGCGTAATGGGAATGGGGTGATCAAAGGAAAAGAATCTCCTATGGAGAGGAGGTTCCAAGGACCCCGGATGGGCATCGACGTATCCTGCATGCTGGGCGGAGGTGAGGAAGGCGTCGTGAGAAGGGAAACGAGAGTGAGTCAACATCTCCTGGTAGAGACCCTCGACTCAGTCTGCTGCGTTGGAGTAGTAGTACAAAAGACTACTCGTCGACCGAAGATGCAATTCACCATGGGTAAACCGAGCCTGGGACAAGTGACCCAAAACGAAGTCGACGATGGAGGAAAGACGTTCGGGAGTGTGATGGAGACCACGATACAGTAGGAGGGTGATGGCCTCCATAAGACCTCCTACATACCGGTTATGGTAATGGAGCAAGTTTGCGGGATCGGCTCAATAAAGTTGGTGAGCGAAAGTGGCCAACCGACGAACTAAGGCCTCCGATGCATCAAGTTTCCGCTGGACCTCTGGAAGGGAGGGCAGTTCGACCTCATACAAACCCTCATCTTCAGGGTACTGCCTAATCAAACCCTCGGCGACATGAGCCCTATCCCGGTAGCTGCAAACCATTTCCTCCAACTCCTCCAGACGATCTCGTTGACGCAAAGCACGAGCATTAGCAGAGTCGAGCTCCGCGTAAGCATTGGAGGAACAACTACTAGCATCATCAACCTGCTTACGGAGCTCCCCGATCTCCTGCTTTTGACGCTTCGCCACCTCCTTGTAGGCATCCACCTCAGAATGGGCGATGCGGAAACGGGTCACAAGGTCCTGACAAGAGAAAGCTGCTCAGTCAGTAAGAAACGAAGCAAGGGGGAAGGAAACATACCTTGGACGCAGGCTCAGGCAATTCCGCTTCGATAGCCTGAAACTGGGACAGAACTCGTTGATACTCAACACGGTCCCTTGCAACCTCCTCCAACGACCGACGACTGGCCTCAAGCTCCTGGCTCCTAAGGTCCAACGAAGACAAGGTGTCTCAAAGGAGGGAGGTCAAGGTTGAAACCTGACCACGAGACTGCGCAAGAAGGGTTCGGAGCTCCTCCACCTCAGTCTTCAGACGGTCATTTTCGACCCTTAGAGCGGAGGAGGCTTGGGAACGAGGGTAGGGGCGCATAGGCTCCCGAGAATGCTGGATAGGCATATCAGACAAAGGGAAGAGGAAGAATAAGGAAAACCAGTTACTGACCTATTGAACAGGGGGGGTTTTTATTCTGCCCCAAGAAAAGTCTTCCACCTCGCTTGGAAGCACGAACTGCTCAAACGAACCAGCCTGTGGAACACGATGAGGGATCTCGGCGTAGCCCTGAGATCGAGATTGCTCGACAACCGACCAATAGGAGGAATCCTCAGGGACGAGGTGCCCAACTCCCGGCAAAGTGGGAATCTCCGAATCGGGAACGTGGGGAGGACGGAGGACGAGGACCACGCCACGATAACCTGACCCTCCCTCGACCTGTGGAACCGGAGGTGCGATGGGGGACGGCCTATCCACAGCCTGTTTGGGACGTCGATGCTTGGGGGTAGAACCAGGATCCACCTTGGCTGGTCATTTGCGTTTTTTTGTAACTGGAGCAGGAGGTAGGAGAGAAGAACCGCCAGCTAACAGGGAGGTGTGAGGAACCGATGTCGATGGTACAGGAACCAGCGGTTGGCGCTGACGAAACTCCCGAAGCTCCTGACGATCCAACTCACGCTGATCCTGATCATCCAAAGGGTTCAACTCGAGAAGTGCACTGGTCGAATTAGTGCTCTGTTCAACACGATCGTAAAGGATCCGCCACTGCTCAGTTGGGAGAGAGTAGCGGGTGCGCTGACCCGGGTCTCCATGGACCTCCAGAAAACGACGAGCAAAAGCTAAGTCGCGAAAGCACTTGCGGGAAAAGTATCGAAAGCGCGCTAATCGTCCAAGGACACACGGCTTTTTATCATCGCAGTTGCTACACCGAGCAAGATGAGGAACAAGTGAGCAACTACCTTCCTTTTTACCTCGAACGCAGGTTGGACATGGCAGACCCGCAGCAGCCAAGGTTGACCACAAGGGATCGTTGATGATGTAACGTGCAAGCGAGACGCCTACACCAAAGACGGACTTGAACAGCGATAGCTGCCCAAGGGAAGGTTCCTCCACGTTACTTACGATCTCGTCCACATCAGAGTCACGGCGATTCGGAGAGGAGGGAGGTACGCCAAGAGCATCGGCAGAAGTAGAAGCGTGAGGCGCAGTCATTGCAGTCGAGTTCTACTTGGGTGATGACAGGTAGGAGGATAAAGAAGGCGGACAGGGAGGGAAAACGGACTTATAAATGAAAAAAAAGTCGATCACATGGAAGCCACGTGATATTTCGAAGTGAAACCTCCTTGGAGGCTCGGAGGAGTAAAGGGGGGGGGTAATGTCATGCCCTGTCCCTAAAAAGCTCCCCTTGTTACCCTCCTAGACATCCCAGAACTGCATATCAGCTCCTTCACACCTCCCAAATAACCTCCCATGGAACCCCCATGAACCACAGAACCCTAGCCAACCTCCCGACCAATGCTAACCTCCATCTGAAGCGACAGCTCCGCGACTCGCGTATGCCGCCGGACAATCCCCTATCAATTTAGCCTCATGGGTTCCGCACTTCACGCCAGCCCCATTAGATGCTTGTTTATTACAATGTCCCATTACCTATTCATCCCACCTATATAAGTATCCTCTGTAACATAAGCATGCCCAGCTTGGTATATTTTGAACACACACACTTTAACATAGGTCCAGTCCCTGTCCCTTTGTACCTGCTACCTATATGGAATTCTCTTTACTCTCTATTTCTTTATCTCTGTTTCTCTCAACTCTGTCTATCGTCTCTATGATCGTCTATATGGTCCAATACATGCTTTAACTTCACGTCTAAGCAACCCGAGTGAGTCTCCGAGCTTCCTCAAACAATACTAAAAGCTCCCCAACGCCTACTGCCTTGGTGAGCTAACCTCCCCAAAACCTCCTTGAGCTCCCCAATTGCTCCATAAGCTCTGGGACCTCAGTCTAGGTAACGTCGAAGCTACCTCCTACGTCGGACTACTTGTCGCTTCTCTGTTGCCACCTCCCACGCTTGAGGACGTTCACCTCCAACCCCCAGCTCCCGGGACCTCCCCTTCCGGGCATTTACCTTCTCAGGAGCTTATACACTCAAGACCTATTCTCCATACGACCTATTCGATCTCACGTTGACATTCTAGCGAGTACAACTCCTTCTACGTAACGCTACTAGGTTTCGTACCTCCGCCTCCTCTATTTTACGTCTTAGGGACCTCCCTGGACCTTACAGGAACCCCTTCAAGGGTCACATCTCTCAATCCCAGCCACTACTAGGTCATTCCCGTCCTCGGTCGCGGTTTCCGTAGCTCCCTTCGAGCTCCAGCCTGCTCCTAGCACGCTACAATGTAAACTTCTCATACCAAACCTATCCTAAGACCTATTCTGACCCAGGTCTTACAGGACCTGTGTTGAAGAGATGCAAGACAAATAATGGGGGACGTCAAGCACAGGATGAGGCCTTTTGGGGTCGTTTTGACAAGTGTCTTAAAGAGAAGATTGACGATTATGGTCAGAACATGAAAGTCAGCAAGTGGAAGGAGTAGGCTGGTTGTCCTCTTATTTCTGAATCTCGCTGAACTCCTATTCATAGGTATTTCTGCGAGACTGTGCAGGCGGACTGGGAACGTTTCGGTAAACCAAGTAACACGCTGCTCCCTGCTCTTCCTATTGCAGCCAATAATAACGGAACAACAACTGGACGTGCCCCACTGGCAGAGGTTCCTAATAATGCCCACAGTGTTCCTAGAGTTTCGGGGGTAGAAGATGGATTGGCAAACCATGATGATGAATATACTCAGTTCTAGTTAAACTCTGATATTATTTGTCGTATACAATACTCAAATGCTTGCCGTGGATATTTGTGATGAGCGGGCTATATCGGATACATCTTCGGAGACCGTCGGAAACGAGCAAATTTTATGGAAGGAGCAATGCAATGTAGAGTAGTAATATCATAAGTTTCTGGCTTCGTAAGGATGGAAGGATATCAAACACATAAGAACTCCAGCTCATAATTTGGTATTTAGTCTGATACAACCACTCGACCTTTTTAGAACACAACCTTATTTAGTCTGAGCCACAGATCATAATCTCAGTGATGCTATTTTGATGGATTTCTTTCCTGACTGTGTAACCTCCCCTACCATAAACAGGGGTCCCAGTACAGATCAACAGCACACTTATTGTTAGGGGATTGAATCGCTAAGTACAAATTTGCATTGTAGGGCCGTCAAAGTCATAGGGCGTATCAGGACCCCGGACTACAGAGACGTGTACAGGCGTGTACTAGTTTCATTTTTCGAGGCGGGTTGTCATGCAGCGCCATCGGATTGGCAAAACGGATAAATTAATAGTGGAATTCTAGGGTGATCACATACCCACACATCTGGAGGCTCCTTGGTTGCAAACCCTCCCTGAGGAGCCCTGAGGCGAGTGGTCGGAGAGCGTCGGAGGATGGTCAGCCAAATTCCAATCTTTAGCTTGATCCGAAGGCTTCACTAAGGAGGACCTGCTGTATAAAAGCGTGGGGCGCTAGGGAATCATCCCCCCAACTGCTGGTCGGTCCTCACATTTTCTTTGCTGGCCGAAGAAGTACCCAAGCCCTTAGACCGTAGAACGATCCGTTCAAATCTCGCATCCTCGTCGTTCATTTCTTCGACTACTCATACTTGTTACTTCTTATTCCAGTGAGTTAATGTCCCTCCTCTTCCATTCTGAAGGTGTTCTTAGGAAAAATACTCACATTACTCACGTTTCAGTTTTTACCTCATCATCAACATGCGTTGCAATTTCGTCACCTGGTTTGTTCTTGGGCTTGCCACGGTTGTGTATACTGCCCCAGTAGTGAGCCATTGAGATGCTGGTTTTGTCTCTTTTGTCGGACTGACCACCGACTCAATTAGGATGGCTTGGCTTCTATGGCATCTTTGGAGACCCGTAGTGTCGCGGTCGTCTTTGAATTCGCAGACCAGCATGCCGCGGAAGCTGTGCCGTCGAGATTCCGTCTGCCATTTACGAGTAGTAAGGCTATAAAGGACAAGACAGCAGAGTTGTCAGCTCAATCAACAGTCAAAAATTTATTACAAACTTTGGGCTTCGAGGGTCAATTGAAACCAGACTCCATTTTTGGTGGCACCTCTCACCAAGCTGAGGGCCGAATTGATTTCGTCGCTCCGAACGTTCCGGGATTTAATGGTCCCTGCCAGGGATGGGCAACACCAAGCGGAAATGGAGAATTACATGGGGACAAAGGTGGAAAAACAGAAGTTATATCTGTTGAGAATGGCGTGAAAAAGGTTAAAGGGTCATAAATTGTCGGAGGAACTGCATCAGAACTGCATCAAAGTTTGCTCTGTCTTGATTGTGACCTGCCAATGTATCTAATACTAGTTCGACGGGGTCAAAGTGCATATATATGTTGTTCAACGTCAAAGTAAAAACTCAGATGTAGGAATAAACCACAATTTACTTGAGAATTGTGTGAACTTGGAGGAAATAAATGTTATGGTGGAACGCACTTCGGACAGCAAGGGGACAGGAAATGAAGAGATTCGGTAAGGAATACATTCGAGATCGAATACAATGAAGGGTGCAGTGAGATTTGAAAGACGGAAATGCGATGACACACGATCGGTGCCAGTCAAACAACAGTGGTTCGGCACTCGACCCAAGAGTACCGCTGAACATGAAGCAAGGACGGACATCATTCTTGAATCTCACATGTAAGAAGGGCGATGGGATACAGTAGACGAAAATCACGATATTGGTATATTACCGTTCGACTTAGTAGGAGTATCAACGTCCATTTGGTCTTTTTCATTGTCATCGTCGCCGTACGAGTCCGCAGAAGGAACAGCCGCAGAAGTTGCTGCTCCTAATGCGCCTGTTGATTGAGGGGGGGCTACGTCCCTATAAGAAAAAAACAAACGTCTAAGCATTTAATTCCAGCAACGTAGAAAGGACATACCACTTGATTTGAAACCGCGTCACTCTCGGCTTCTTCGTAATGTCCCTCACCAATCTTTCCACAGCAACCTTCTTGCCTTCCATACTTAACCGCTCTTCCTCGCCACCCTCGTATTCTGTATTCTGATAATAACCCACTCTGACGAACTCTTGCTCGGCATAACTTCCGGTGAGGATCAGTGCTGCCACACCGAGGAGATCTTGTTCAGGAATTAGTTTATGATCTGGCGCAGGTGATTGAAACTCGAAAGAGTTTACGCCTGGTGGCACAGGTCCAACCAGACATGAATCGATTTCTTGGTCCAGAGCGGCGTTTTCGGGGCAGGAGACATAAATCAACTTCCATTCGAGGTCTGATTAGTATCATTAGGTTCCTGATTCATCATGGAAAATCGAGGGATAGTTACCATCTGGCAAAGGAGACAGACATTCAAAAGTGACCCGAAATCTGTATGGGTCAGTGAATCGCGCTGGATTGTTGAGGAATTCTACGTTCTGCGCGGAGAATGAGTGGAACGAATCGAACGCGTTAGAAGTATCATTAGCTCACTCGGATTGTTACGATAGACATAATTATTAGTTCAGGCTTCGAGTGGCACTCGAAGGTAAGGGAAGTGTTGGGTGCGGAGGAGCAAAAGTAGGTGGACGCTTTGGCAGCTGGCAAGACGCGTCGGGGTGTGGGATCACGTGCTACCTTCGATTTTGGGATGTGAGCGCCTATTAATCAGCGGCTCCGTCCAAAGACGATCAAAGGAACAGCCGGGCCCCACTGCCTCTACTGCAACGAATTAATGGTGATCTCGCAAAAAGATGGTAGGCTGTAGCAAGTACGGAGGGAAAGGAGATATAGTGCAGTATCCCAGCATTTTCTGTTACTTATTAATTCCTGGCAATTCGGCGAGTAGCACTCGTGTTGCTCACTTGGAGTTTCCTATCGTGGTCCAGACAGGGTTAAAACCCACAAGAAATCGCTCTTATGTAGTCGTTGAATTTTGCAAGACACAAAGATGATTCCGATAACGCGTTGCATTTGGGTGCTACAATATATATGTAGCAAGACAAGTAAAAACAGCCTATGTATAATTTCCTCTATGTAAGTATGTATATAGTATAAAGCAAAGAAAGGAAAGCTACCGACAGATGTTGCGAAAAAGAAAACAATGCCAATGACATGAAAAACGTAAGATGGTGCATAAAAACAAGATGAATAAATATCTTCATTTCAGTGGTTGTACTTCAAGTTTTCGTCCAATGCATTTGAGACGCTATATTCATCATAGTCAGGGAGATTTGAGCGCCAACGCTCGATGTAATGTATTTGAATCAAGGCCACGGATTCGTAAACACTTATGGAACAGCTTCTTATCAATGGGGAACTGTGCACGACTCGCGAGGTGTTGGCCGGCTACTAGTGACTTGATGACTGCAGCTATCAAACGCTGCCGATGTACATTGATGAGGGGTTCGAGATGCATAGATGACGGAAGAGGGGCGAGTGTCGAAAAGACTTCGGGATGGGCAGGTGAGCTGAAATTGGGAGAGACCGGGTCCACCATGACGACTTCGTTGGGTGCTGTGGGGTCGACCAGAACTGGGAGCTGGTTATGCTGGTAGAGTTGGGAGAGATAGGTACCTTGACATGGCGATGAGAACGGGGGAAAATGGGTACAAGATCAAAAAAGCTTACCGACGAAAGGTATACAAGCAGATGGCGTGGGTTGATCATTTACAGAATCAGCAACAGCGCTCACGACAGAAGACGCAAGTGAAGTTGCCTCAAAAGGCTTAGCGTCGTTGATAGCATCAACAGCACAGCGTATATGTCGGAAATTATCTTCCCTAGAAGTGAAAAGTTTTAAGTCGGCCAACATCCTTTTATCCCATATGGATAACTTGTTCATCGATCTACGCATCGCCCTAGTGACCCAACTACTCTGAAGACCAGTCATGATAGCAACAAGGGTGTTAAAGCTATTTCGTTGATATGATTTCTGTACGAAAGGGAAATCGATGAGGATACTAATATGATAGAAAGATCGGAGACTAAAACACACCCAGGCTATCCGTAGGAACTTAGAGAAGACATACAAACGTTCGGCTTGATTCGTGAGCACGATCTCCGATACAGTGAAATTCACCATCAAATTGAACCGAGCCCTTACAGCTCCAAGAGCACTAGTTTTTTCAGGTAATCTTGCTTCGGCTTTCCATCTGGCCCTATCCTTGAGGAACTGTGCCCAATCCAGCGTATCCACTTCCTCGCAATACATCCAATCTTCTAATAGAAGCTCCTCGAACTTGATTGTCATAAACAGTTCTCGGTCAATCATAGCAAAGTGTTGCGCAAGATCCTCCGCTTTGAAGAGCAGGACGAATGACCGATGAGCTACTTTGGGCCCGATGGAGGGATCAACAAACTTGGATATCCTTTCAGGAGTCACAGAAGGCAATTCAGAAGAGAGGCGGCTTTGACGAATTTCTAACGGGACGGCGTCCTCAACAGCAGGTTTTGAATCGGTTGAACGAGCAGGGGAAGCCACTTGATCTATCTGCTCGACCACAGGAGTTGTGGCAGTTACAGAATCCGCATCAGGAGGAGGAATGTCTGTGGAAGCGAGCATCGTAGCAGACGTCGATTCCGTACCTTGAGCACTCCGCGAAAAAGAGTCCTCTGATCCTTCGTGTGGTTCAACTTCAGCGTCGTCGTCATCATCATCAGAGTACATCGGCTCTTCGTCACTATAATCACCCGCAGCTAATCTTTCACGTATTGTCTTCACCCACCCATTGACCTTGCTTGCTTTTTCCAACCGTTTTTGGGGATTGATTTGCCCTTCAAGTCGTTTCAGGGCTTCGTCTACATCTCCCGGTTCCTCATCATCCATCAACGAATCTTTAAGTGCGTTCATTTGCCACTGCTGGATCCCTGCGCCTAATCCGCCGGCGGCAGACGAAGAAGATGTATGGGACGCAGTCGACTGTCCAGATGCTGAGCTAGCCGATACGATGGAGGAGCGTGAGATGATACCCATTGAAGACACAGTTTCAGGTCGCTCGAGAAACTCAAACTCTCGGCGAAGGGGTAACCTGCGTGGAGGACGGCGTAAACCAGGCAAATCACCGGGCGCATCACGCGAGCGGTTCGCATTATCATGCTCATCGGATGAGTTATCAGAAAGATCGTCCAATGAGACGACGTCAAATTGCCATGGAGAAGTAAATGCCGGAAATCTTGCAGACGCACGGCTAGCTGAGAGAGGTTCACCGAAAGAACCGGTGGAGGAGGTTCGGGACGAGCGTCGGGTGGCACGCGACTCGCGACCCTGTGAAACATCGTTGAATGACTCCTCATTCGCTCGGGGTGACGGAATGAGGCTATCGCGCAATTCATGAACATTGGTTACGGCCCCGTAATCGGATTCTGTTTCGGCGATAGAGTCACGATTTTGAGAAGCCTCTGGAGGCTCTGACGATTGGTCGGATGCCGGGAGGGACATAATATGATCATCAGGCGCGGACCTTGGGAGCGCTGAGGAAGGCAGGTGGGCTTCGTTCAGGGAATCAGTAAAGGAGTGCCGGTTGGGGGTTTTCGAACCGGAGTTGAGAAGGGTCGGAGTAACTGGGGAGGGGGTTGTAGCCGAAGTCGCAGAGGGAGTCGCTATTGGGGACTCTGACGACGCCTTTGCTAACTTCAACGCCGCCGAAGGTGTATGCAAATAGTTCCTCGGCACCTGTGAACTCTGACCCTCCACCAGCCTCAGATAACTCTCAACCCCTCCACTTGAACTCAACAAATCACTAGAATCGACCGTTAACTCAACATCAAATGCTGATACATCAGCGCACGCGGTTGCCATCCTCGAAAACCCACCGCCTATATGAGGCTTCCCCAGTCCACCAGTGGTCATTGACCGATGCATGCTGACTCCATGAGCGACGCCACCACTATTGAGTACTCTCTTCCAACGGCCAAGTCTCCCCAGAGTTTTCACCAACACCCTTGAGAGTGCATTATGCGGTATTGTTGTCGCATTTGCATTCATGGAAGAGCTATACATCGGGCCCGAAGAAAATTCAGGACCAGGCGCATGATCCGTACGCTGCAATATCGAGAACGAAGATAATGGAATCGATCCCGGTCCTGGCGGTGATATCGCTGTCGACAGATTCAACGTCGAAGCGCCGCCGAGGTGAACGTTGTTCACCGGGGTCTTTCCATAAACACCTGAGTAGGGTGAGGAGGTAGAGGATGGTTCGTCTATGAAATCCAAATCAACGTCGGAGTCGTCCGTATCAAGGATAGTAAGAGCGGAGGCAGCGGAGAGTTTCCGAGTAGCTTCAGCGAAATTTTCACCAAATAAGTTCTCTTTTCCTGTTCTGTTCGATTCTTCTGCATCCGGTAAATAGAAATGAGGTTGGATTCCTACTCAAGCTTTAAGACTACTCACCACTCCTGACATCCTTTCGTGAGTCCGAAGGAGGCTGGCTATTCTTGTTAGAGTTTTGAGTTCGACTGCTGGAAGCAACAGTGTTGTTACGTGTGTACAGCTTCTTGCAATCTTTAGCCACGTTCTTCAGCTTCTTCACAATGCTCTGTCCGGACCGATTATTAAAATTTGATGGTGTCAGATCGGGGGCACATAAAAACCACAAAACAGACTGACCACCCCATCTACGATAGCTCCTCTACTCATGCCCATCTCCATCTCCTTCATTTCCCTGCCCTCTTTCCCCATCTCTGTACCCGCCAACTCAGCTTCCCTCCCCAAGTCCCCCAACTCCTTCGCCAAATCATTCAAATGATTCGCCACGTAAAGCCTCAACTCTCTATTAGGTACAAAATCCACCGTAAAAAACGTGATGAGCCAATACTTGAAGGCGACGAATGTGCGCACACGAACAATTCGGCGGACTACATCGTCATCGATCGAAGTATTAATAGCGGTTGAAGCGATAGTCGCCGTCGTGAAGGAAGAACCCTCGGGTTTGACCGTCGCTGTCGAGGAGGTCGATGCTGTGGTCGGCGGGGAAAATGGCGAAAATGAATGAGAAGAAGTACCCGTGTTTGATAGCGACGAGACAGCGATGCTCCTACCCAAAGCCCAACAAAATCTCGTCATCAAGAGTCTCGCTAGATCCAACGCACTAATGTACGTCCTATATGTCAAGAAAAAGTTCAGCAGCTCGTCATAATCCAAATCCGAAGTTAGCTGTGCAAGCCATCGTTCAATGGTCGCTGCCAATAGTACGCGGGTTTTTCCAGATCCGTCTTCACTAAGGGTAGCACTGGCAGAACCGTTGACACCGTGGCCAACCGTGAATTGGAAGTCCGAAGCTCGACCCTTCCCTTTCACACCAAGTGAAATGCTCATACTGCTGTTAGTGCTAGTCGAGCTTTCATGGGACACCGACGATGCATCACAGCCTGTGAGTCCACTTGTTTCCGACGGCGTAACCTCCCCCCAGATAACAAATCTTGGATCATCTTTCGGCGCAGCGCTCCCATCCTGACTGAGACTCAGCTTCACCGGAACGGTTTCCGGTAAAGGCGTACGCCGAGAAGACGACCTGGACGACGAACGCCTGTTAGAATCATCATCTGTACTGTCATTGCTAATTGTTATATCAACATCGTCTTCTTGATCGCTAACACGGAGATCAAGAAGGTCGAGGCGAGGCAATCCACGTGAAGTTTGTAAAACATCAAATATTTCAGTTGAGTATGTTGCGAATTTGGCCAGGCGAGGTGGAAGGCCTGAGGGAGAATACATTTGTACTCTGGGAGTTTGTGGTGTCTGTGGCGTAGAAAAGTCAGGTTGGCTTCGACTTTCAATGTCGTTGACACCGGAGTCAGGAACTTTATGAATGTCATTGATTAGAGAGTGTGTGGTATCATCACTTGGTTCAAGGTTGGAACTGTGTGTCTGAGGGCTTGAATTTGGATACTGATCATGTAGGGGGGAGGAAGGAGACACCGTCTCTTGAGAAAAGCCATCTTCAGAGAGTGGATAGGACGCGGCATCCGACTGTGAGCCTGAGACCGACGCAGAAGCGCTCGTCAAGTTGGGCGTATCAGCGGCTTCCGCTTCGATAGTCTCTAATATACGAGCTTTGACCATTTTTTCCCTCTCACGATCTCGATCCACCAGCTTTATCGCACTTCTTTGCCTCCCGATCACCTTCTGACCCGTATTCTCACTCAACGCCATGTCAACGATATTTACGATCTCCCCAAGGTTCAGGTTAATGTCATCGCCTAAATCTACTTCGAGTCTGGTCGTTGTTGAACTATTCGTTCTTGGAGTATTGGATGCAGATGCCACAGAAGTCCCGGCCAAGGTAGGTGTAACAGGCGGGAGCGGCGTCGCAGTCAACCCGCTCTCGAAGCTCTGCATTTCTTTCAGGCGCCTGTGTGCCCAAGGCGAATTTTGAACCTTAAGAAACCTCCCATAATCAGATTCTGTTTCCGATTCAGGATCCTCTGGATCAGATTCGAGATCACGCTCTGATGTTGAACCAGACTCATATCCTGAACCGGATTCGGAACCAGAACCAGAACGGGAACGAGTACTAGCTCGGAAAGATTCATTCATCGGTTTTCCTTCGTGATGTGTAGAACGGTGAGAATGGTTAGAACGCAATATAGCCGGGGTTTCGAAATGAACGCCGGGGCCGAACGGACGAGGCACAAAGCCTGAGCCTGTGGCAGAACTCAAAGGCAAACCCGAATCATTGATGGCAGTCGTACTGACGGATTTAGCATGAGCTGGATCAATCGCGTGCATATTCCCAACTCTAGGTTCAAAGAACAAGTTATGCGTACTGTGAGCCACATAACCTGTAGATGGTGCACTGGTACTGAAACCACTCAAGGTACCAGACATGTGGGAGGGGATGAGATGATTCCTCCACCCCATAATTTCTCCAAATGAGTCTCCCTTACGTTCCGGAAGTTTTGTGGGAGGAGTGGTTATATGAGTCGGGTTGGGAAATAGACTGGAGCTAGGAATTAAAGGTGGATTAGCTGGATCGATTCCAACTACGTGTGGCATATCTGTAGCTGTAACACTAAGGGAATGCATCCTTCCTCCAAATACGGTGGTACCCGTTGAGTTATACGCCGAGGGAGGGTGCTGCCCGTAGCCGTAGGTGTATCCGTAACCGGAATATCCATACCCTGGGTCCCCTGAAGGACTCGACAAGCTCAAATCCGGATTCGATCGTGGTTTTTTGAGTTTTCGAGGAGTACTGCCAACCGCACTAGTCGACGGACTAGAAGCGGACCCAGATCCAAGCAATGCATTGATACTGATCCTCCCCCTCGAATGTCGTTTACCGCTTTTCGATGCTCGGGAAAACGATTGGGATTTGTGCGAGGGTCGAGATGAAGATATTTCTAAGCTGTTCAACGATGCCTTGGAGGCCGGTTTAGTGATAGACCCGGATGGAGATCTGATGCTATTCGACTTGGATCTTCCTCCGCCGACTCCGATTCCCACTTTGGATGATTGAGGTGAGGTCTGTGGTGGAGGAGATTTGGATTGCTTGGAAAGATTAGAGAGGACGAGAATGTCCTCGGCTGCGGCTGCTGTTGCGCCTGGGGCGGAGAGTTCTCGGTGGCTGGAGAAGAGTGAAGCACGAGGAGGTGGACTAAGGCACGTTATATCAAAAAGACAATTAAATACTTACCCAATCCGATATCGTTTCTGTCCATGCTGTCCGACAAACGCTGTAATCGCATAAGGTGATCTGACTATGACGTTGACGCCGTACAAGGTGTCATAGCGCCGCTTGAGTTCCATAGCCCAAGGCGCCGAGGAAGTCTCGACGTAGGTTGAATCGGCTGAAATAGAGAAAAGGTCAGTATACAACGACATAGTTATTGATGAAAAAAGAATTCGAGTAGAGAAACACCTACGAGCAATGACAACGTCTGCTTCAGATTCCTGAGGGAGTGGTTTGGAGAGGATAGAGAGCTCGCCATCCATTGTGGCAGTGGGATCTGGGAAAGCGAACGAGATAGAGTCCGCTGCAGACGATACGGTCGGAATAGGTACCAAGATACGTAAAGGTGTCCCTGACTGTTCTGGTAACTGTTCTGTGGCTCCTGCAGAAGTTCCAAACCCGCCGAGCCCTGGAGGAAGAGCAGGTAAGCCTGGATCAAGATCAAGCTCTACATCGTCCTTGTCAAAAGTTTCCTGCGTATCTGTTGTATAAGCAGGAGGAAGAGGAAGAGGAAGAGGAGGAGAATGAGTAGAAGAGTCCATAGAAGATAATGGAATGGTTAGAGAGTCGGCCAATGATTCGTAGTCATCAGATGAGGATATTGGAGGGAGCGACGGTGGAGAGGGAGACAATGGCGGGGATGTAGAGAATGTGGGGGACGTTGAAGCCATTGTTCGATTGTCAGTGGTAGGGTTGATGTCGTGAATCGTCGTGTTTGTCGTGTGAGAAGTGGCAGAATCAAGAAAGTGTTAAGTGTTCAGAAGGCCATTCTCCAGGCATCCAATAACGGTTTTGCTGCAGTTTGAAGAAGCTAAATTTATCCTCTCGATAATACTGTCTTCTTCAGCCCTTCCTTCTATCTTTCTTCTCAACTTCTTTTTATTTAGACTTCAGTTCTCCCTTTTTGGCTACAGCCTTGCGTGCGTCGTCAAAGCAGAGAAAGACAAGAGTTAGAGTCGAACAGAAAACGCCGTTACTAGGAAAAAGATGGGGATCTGATGAAAACAATATTAATGTTTTGGCGATGTGAAGAAGATTTCAGAACACTGACGTTTTCACAGAAACACGTGGTCTGTCTCAGAATCACAGAGTAAGATATTCCGGTTACCACTGCTAGGTACTCTACTCTCCAATATCGAGGACGACGCTTTGAGTGATATACTCAGTCTACTGTGAGTACACACACACAGGGAATATTGCGCATGGGTCCTGGAATCTATGAGCTATGAGTCAAGTGCTCTGAGCTCTCTGCTGGATCCGAGTTGTACAGATATACCAAACCCTCCTGGGCCAGAATTTACGAGAAGGAAGAAAAGTTCGTTTCCTCATTTACAGAAGAACGTTCAATAGGTGGGCTTCAGAGATAGAATACAGATCAGCAACATTCATCCTGTTCACTTGGGTACTATTTTGGTAGAAGGATATAATATACAGAATGGAAATAAACTGGTTTATGCTCAAGTTGCTTCGACATCATGATTGATTCTTGAACTTCGTTATGGTGCTAAAATATTGACGAGGTTGGTCATTTTTAGCATCAAATACCAAGCTTGAAGCTGAGCTCTATCACACCTCGGCAAGGCCCCGAAGACTAATTGATCATGAGGAACGTCCGTGTTTGTCTTCTAAATTTCAACGTCCGCGGCGCAAAACCACTTACACACAACTTTCACTTTTGACCTTTTGACTTCTCAAAGAAACAAGGTATGAACCGCTTTCCTAGGTTTTTTAAGTTCCTGAGTGTTAATCTGTAGGTCAGTATGCCAGTGGTCGCTCCTCCTTCACCATCGGACCAAGATCTGAGAGCTGCCGTTGTCTCTCTCAAATCCATTCATCCAACACTGGGGATCGCGAAGATCCACGCCTTACTGCTCGAAACTCATCCAGATTGGATCGTCAGTGAAAAACGGACGAAGAAAGCTCTTCAAAGTGAAGGGCTCACTTTACAATCATCCCAGTCAACCGCACAGTCGGTTGAACGCTCAGTTGCCACTTCAGACTCACTAGCGCAAACTAAAGGCTCAAAAGCGTCAAAAGCGTCTGGCAGTGGCGTCAACAATATCTTTCCGTCTTCGAAATTAATTCCCAACCTCGATATTTCAAAGTACAGCACAAAAATTGAAGTGAAGCATTTCAATAAGAAAAAAGGCAAAGGACTCGTTGCCAAGGAGAAAATTTTAGCTGGGACGCCAGTGTGGAAGGAGGATCCGTATGTTGTTGCAGCTGAATGGTAGGTCGAAGTTCTGCCGAAGTATTTCTATGTAACAATTCTGGCCACAAAGAAGCTGATATATTTTTACCTCAGGGAAATATACGACCTGCAACAATCTGGACAAGCGTGTAGCTTTTGTACGACGCCATTTTCATCCACAACCACCACTTCTCTTATTACCAGCTGCGTCGCTTCATGCCACGCCCGTTTCTGCAACCGTCTTTGTCGCGATCGTTCAGCGCGAACTCATCCGCTACTTTGTCCAGTCCAAAATCCTGCCTCGATTCCGCTTCTACAATGGGCAAGGAAAGCAGAATGGATGGCGCTACATGCGCTTGCGTGTATGACTAGCCGAGTGATGACCCTGTGCCAGGACTCAAAGGATTCTAAAGATGCAAAAGTGGCGGAGGAGGAATGGAGGACTGTGACTAGTTTTGCGACGTTGAGTATAGAGGATAGGGCGAAGTATCATTTCCACAAAGCCGGGTATGTATTTTTACGCCATTCTTACAATCAAAAACATTTCTAATGTTTCGTCAGAAGCCAACCGGATTCTGACTCTTGGCAAGAGGCTTTTAAGCTTTACATGCAGGCGTTTAGAGAGCCGCCTGCGCTCCAGGATCAGAAAAAGCTCGCGAGACTGGTGAAGAGACCTTTCAGAGCGGATGTATCGCAAGGCCTATTCCAGTATGATGCATTTTTGAGGAATTTGGGGAAAATGAGTCTTAGTGCGTTCTTTCCATCCCTTTTTCGCCTCCCGACCCTCTGCGTGTCACATATCCATTGGGACTTACACTTTCTCAAAACAGATCTCGAAGCACATGGCGGGCTCTATGTCCTTCATTCACACCTCAATCACTCTTGTAAACCCAATATCTCCATCCGACACCTCGAACAACGTACAGCCTTGTCAAGGATTACGGCCATTTCCATGAGAGACATTGAACCCGGTGAGGAATTGTTCATCACATACGTTAACCCGACAATGTCAGTAGAACAAAGACGAGATGAACTGGAGCAGTGGGGATTTGGGAGATGTGAGTGTGCAAGGTGTGTGAAAGAAGAAAGGGAAGAGATTGAGGCGAAATCTCATGTGGTAGGGGAAGGAGGTGACGAAGATTTGTTGAAATTTAGTCAGGCGGACCTGGAGAGAGAACTCAAAATAGGACTAGGGGTCATGTAAATTGTCATACGATTCATTTCAATGTACAAAAAAGTATCCAGTACATATCCACTACCACATGTCCATGAAAGAAAAGTGACATTGAAGCCAACCTAATGCTCAATGCTGGCTATGAATTCATCGACTTTAGACCTGCAATTAATCACGAATCGGAATAAGTGAGAGATTGTGGATTGTAGAACAACCCTACCTTAGCTTTTGGATATATCACTGACCCCTCTGCATCCTTTATCTCTCCACTAGTAAAACCTCTGTGTCCGTCACTCACAACCTCCGCTGAACACTTGGGTTTACACTGAGGTAGCCTAGTGATCTCAAATCGTATCTCCTTTAACGAACCATCATAAATTTCTGACTCTCGAAACCAGCTGAATATCCTGGAGTACCCGAGGGCTTCTGAGGCCTTTAATAATAGCGCATTCACTGCGGCTCGAGCAGCATTGTCCACGGAATTTGACTTCGTACTGGGGCTAAATTTTTCGAAGTTGATTAACGCAGTTGTCGGTTTTAGAGACCTAGATTCGACATTGGCTGCCTATAATGATACGGTTTATGGATCGTTCAGATAATTGTGTAGATGCTGTGTCAGTAGCAAGCAGGACACTTCCTTACAGTTAATGTCAACGGTACCGCACATGTAGCAGCGATGAGACCTAATAATGTTAAGAAGACCGTGTTGAAATGCATCTTCAATTCGCAGATAGCACGTTATGATCTCGATTGAAAAGAAAGGATGATGCACGGAAGCCTTCTTTGACCGGCAGAGAAAGCAGGTTTGACCAGAAACAGGCTGTTATCCTTGCAACCGACAGTCTTTTTATATGCATGTTATGATATGAATCTGCCCCGGTTTTGATATGTACACCGCATCCGTCACGACTCAGTGCTCAACGTCGAGATTTGATTTGAAGCTGTTCCCGATCCCGAGCATACATTCAAACACATACGAAGTAACTTACAGACAGTGCAGGCTGGTGCTTACTGAATCTATTATATGTACATAATTATGCGCACTAGAGGGACAGCCATCGACGATACAACGACTCAGCTAACGGTATGGCACCAGTTAAAACATAAATTAGCGAAAGATTATACGCTGCTTCTTTTGCAAAGCTTTTCCGATCTCCAATCTGGATGCAAAGCAGAACGCAGTCAGGAGAAACGAATGAATAATTGAGGGGGGGCGGCATACAGCAGTTTGCGTCTGATTCTCTTTTTCTTGATTACCCGACAATTGTAAGACACGTTCGTAATGGTTAACTGCATGTGAATGAAGCCCTGTAGGAAGATAACAACTTGAAAAGAGCACCGAGTTCTGTGGTGACAAACATACCGAGTTGCTGAAAGATTCTACCAAAATTGTATTCAACCTCACTCAAACGGGCTGGATCAACAGAACGCAATGTCCGGTACTTCGACAAGAATGCCATACCCTGACAGTCACAAAGGATAAGCTAGGGATCCCCAGAAATACATACATCCATAAACCATACCTGAGCTATTAAGTAGTGTCGGTTATCCGATTGTCTCTGCATCGCACGCCCGATCGAAGCTATTGCAAGCGAGAGCGAAATCATAGGATCTTCGGGGCAATAGTCATATGCATGGAGAAGGTAGACTATATCAACGTGACAAGGATCAGTCGTATGAAAACATCGGAAAAGCCTCAGTACTTACAGATAGCACTTTGATAACTTTTTGCAGCGATGCACATCTGGCCATAGATAGCCACCGTAAGAGGGTTGTCCTTAGTCGGCAGAATAGGTCTGTCATTGGACGAAACTGTATCATTCTCCGCTGTGCCACCCCCACCCACATCGGAATCTTCTTCACCCAAATCATCCGCCCCGTCTTTATCATTATCCTTGTCTTTGTCTCTATCCTTATCCCAATTTTTCCTCCCACCTGAAGACAGGGTAGAAGGATTTATGGGCGCCCATCGCTTAAGAGCGACGTTCCATTTCAGCAGTTCTGGGTCCTTCACTGCAACATCACTGAGCTTCATTTCCCGAAAAAAGAATTTCTGCAGCGTAGATGTAATGAAAGAGTCGGTGGGACGCAAACCACTGGAAAGCGAGGCCAAAAGCAGACGATAGAGTTCATTGTTAAATTGGTTCGAGGATATTAATTTGCGGCACTGTTCGACAACGACTGGGTAGTGGCGTGTTTCAATAGCGCAGGCTAAGCATGGAGTACAGATAGTTTTCCAAAAAAAGCAGTGATGGGATAGTTTTGCAGGACGTACAAATGATAGCCAGGCGTAAAGAAACCTGGAATTCTGATGTCATGTAGGCGTTGGACAGGAGCATATGGCGGAGAACCTCGTCGGCGAGCTCATATTGGTTGCGCTTTGTTAAGATAAAGCAATACTAGAGTGAGAGGGAAGATGATAAATTAATACAGCAACGGATTCAGTTGCGCCATAAAGGAATACGGAATTGCCTGACCTGTAATATCATATGTAACCAGTCCTTGAACGAAATGCCTCTAAAAACATCTACTCGGTCAGTTCTGGAGAATTTTTGAGACGAGCGTTCGATTTCTGTATAGTATAGAAAAAGCCAGGTGAACTACGTGGACGGATCAAGAGAAACATAACATACGAATATCGAGCTGTAACCTCGAGGCCATACGATCCTCATCTGCTTCGAGGTCGGAAATATCTTTTGTCTTTCGCATCCTACGTTTGGGAAACATTCCTCGGAAAGGGTTATGCTGGAAGAAATTTGTGAATCCAACTTGGCAGTTTTAACATGATAAGGATAGGCAGAACCTCGTACTCACTCTTGCAGCAGTGAACAAGTTTCTTGTCTCTCTGAATGTATCTACCAATTTCTCTGCCTCAAGCATCCATTCCCTCTCCACAGGTCCTTCAGCCGCAGCTCCATTGGCTCGTTGGTGCTCCATAAGACTCTTCGCGGCCTGAATGCCCGTCTCAAGCTCTTTCTCCCTAGTCTCCCTTTCCTTGATCATCCCATCCCAGATCTCTTTTACCCTGTTGTAACTGCGTAATGCATCTTTCTCCTTCTCTGCCTCTAACTCTTTCAATTGCGCTTGGGTCAACCGATTTTGGTTAGTCGGGCGTGAGGAGGTAGACTTAACGTTTTTTTCGGCGAAGAGGGATGTAGACGGGTTAGAGGTAGTAGGATTACTGTCTTGTGACGGATCTTTGTTACGGCGTTTGCGGGCGTCGATAACTGTAACGAAAAATTTGGAAGTGGTTTGAACTCCGGTATCATTTTTTCTATTTGGCATTTTAGGCTGACCTTGGTAGACCAAGTCCAAGGCTTTGCGAGGTTCGTTCATAATCTCGTAAATCTCCGCCAACTTCATTTTTGCGTCGTTGTTTGTTGGATCAGCGAGACGAACTGGGGAATCGTCAACATAAATCGGGTGATCATAAAATTGGGGCGGTACTATGCTCGTATATTTCAGCAGCATCCTTCAATTCATCTAACATCCGAAGACACGATGCAGTTTGCAGGAGGATATAGACACTACTGGTCTATTTTGTACATCGAATGAGTATTGGTTTCCAGCTTTTTTTCCCGGTAAGCACTTACACTGGCATCTGTACCCAAAATTTCATATACCGGCTTCGCCTCGGCCCACATCCCACGTTCGTAGTACGCATCCGCGATTTCGATGAATAGTACTGCGTAGTCGAGAACGTCTTCCTGTAAAACAATGTTTGCGTGTACCTCGAGCCGAATAAAGATCAGGTTCAATGCATTGGAAGAAGTATAATAAAACGCACTACTCCCTCGTTGATCTCTCCCATCTTGATTCTAGCGACTGCCAAACGATGTCGAGCGTTGACATCCAGAGGAAAGTATCCAGATTGAATTTCCACTGTCCCCACTATTCCTCCAGCCGCATTGCTAGGTCCAGCGGTAGGAACATTAGCAGCCAAAGAAGAAGCAGAATCATGAATCGTATTCGCCGCCACTGACGCTACCCGATTGAACCCTTCGGGGTCGTATTCTCTATCGTCTTCAAGCAAATTCCAGTACCTCTGATCCCCTCGTCCTTGCAACCATCTGATACCACTCTTGATCACCCGCACAGCATTGTCGTATTCACCAAGAGTATTATACAAATCCGCTAGCACGAGAAGATTCAGCATGGTAAATCCTCCTCCAAGGACTACTGCACTCGTTGATTCGGTTCCAGGAGTTCCTGCGATTGGACCTGAGCCTGAGGGAAAACGTTGCTGATAGTCGTCGAACGCATTTTGGAACAGAGCTGTACAGGTAGTCAGGTCGCCGAGTTCAACAAGAATGGGGCGAATCTCGGAGAGAACAGTGAGGTCATGTGGAAATCGTTTGAGGATCGAGAGAAAGGATTGACGGGCCTGTAGAAGTTAAATTCACTGGTAATCATTGAGACGGAAAACGGAACACACTATTCGCAGTTCTCCAATTTCCTTTGCCAGAGTCGCACGATCCCAAAGTGCATCCACGTTGGACGGATCCAAGCTATAAATTTTCCGATAGCAGTACAGAGCTTGCTGATAAAAACCGAGATTTCTGAAAGCACAATTAAGGCGATAACGAAATACGAGCAGACTATAAATTCACCTGGACTCGTGTGCCAGCCTATCCCACTCCTCTGCATCGTGTCTGAGATGAGCTGCCATGATACGAAGTTGAAGGGCACGATCCTTTTGCTGCATATCTTCGTAGCATTGTGCAAGCACGGACCAAGCTGATGCAGCTCGCGGTTCAATTCGAATTACTTCTTGCATGATTCTGACAGCCTCGGGTAGGTCGTTATCCACAAACGCTTGATTTCCATCTCCAATTAGGGAGCGCACTTGCTGAGATAACGGAGGACCAGATCCACGCGGTTTCTACGAAAGGAAATATCGGCATAGAAGGGTATGGATAGGAAGCTTAGAATACAAACTCCTTTCCGACGCTTCCCAACGCCCGAAGCTGCACGCAAATCATCCTTGAAGGCTTGTTCTTCATCTTGAATTTTAATATCCCAGTCTTTGGCTAACGAAGGATCGTTCCGTTGGCGAATATCTTGTACCAGACGGCTGGACACGGTCAGTTACAAATATGTAACCGATATGTAACATACTTAAAATCCCCTTCTATCTCATTTTCAACTACCACCATGTCATTCGGGATTTCGATATCATCATCTTGGTCGTCGCTCGAATCCTCATCTGAGCCAGAGTCAGAAGGCGATATGCTTCCTTCCGATCCTGCTGATGGAGAACATTTGAAAGAGTTTAAGACTCATTTACGCCAGAACTCACCATTGAAGTCGAAGAGTCCATGAGAGTCATCCGTTGGCACATCCTCGAATAGCATTTCGCAAAATTCAGATTCTACGGTTAACCTGCGGTTAACGTTTGAGTTCAAGATGCTTATTAGGCGCTCGGAGTCTAGTGTATTGAATCAAAATTTATGTAACTACAGTATGTACAAAGAATCAACAAGCCCCTACAAGCCCCAACGCTTCGCCAACGCCAGGCCTCATTTCGTCTGAATCCTATCAGCTTCGTATTGAGGACTAATGGAGGTAATTTTAGGACACAAATGAATATCATCTTGTAGACTTGTAAACAATACGGACCTTTGGATATACCAGAACTCCGTGTATTACTTCGGCAACTGTTTTCTCACCACTAATGATCTTTCTGGCGTTACTGGAGAATACTTCCCTACTAGTACTAGGAGGCATTGTCAGGCGACCGCTGACTATGCCATCCTCGAGCCACAAGTATCCCTTATACACGGTCGGGCTCTTGATCAGTTTGGAAAGTCCTGTAGGCTCCAATCTGACAGTGAACTCCTCCGAATCACTTCGAGTAGGATTGGGCCGCTTGGGCCACTGCGCCCATTCAATGATGCTGATCGAGTGCGCGTTTTCGTCCAACACAGGTAATGAGGCTTGTAGAAGAATATGGACAGCACCCTGTATATCCCTGTGATCCGTTTTGCGCATGGTTGGTTTAACACCGCCAGTGAATTCCACAGAAACACTGCGAGTAACGAATGTATCGGTGCGAGTCCGGAGACTCAAAGCGATCGATTCCGCAGAATTACCCACTTCGACCTCGAGCGGGTTCTGAAATGTAGGATTTAAGGATGTTCCTCGTCATTCCAAATGCTACTGGCAATTACTCACAGATGTAACGAGTGGGATTGCTGTTGTAACTGCAAGAAAGAAGAGGAGACCACAGATCAAGGTGAAGCGGAACTTGAGAGCGACCCAACAGGGGCGAGCTGAGTGCGTATTGAAGAATCTAAGCATTGCGAGAATGAAAAAAAGCGATTTGAGGCAGATGTGGGACAGGATTTTGAGTTGCGAGACAGATGAAAACCTAGATTGATATGCTATCAGGAATGTCTGAGGAAAAGAAGAGCAACGCTCACGGTATGCTTTTTTCTTTGACCAGCAAAGAAAGATTGCGGATTCGAGCTATAGTGAGGTGGTGGGGTTCAGGTGATCCACGAACAAGTCGATTGTTGAGATTGATGTCATTTATATAGCAGATGGAGCATCCTGATAGATAGATAGATTGATACACGACTCCCCGTAGGTGGTCCCAGGATAGACTCGAGCCAGTAGCTTCGGATGTTGACACTTTGGAAACTGGCGCTCAAAGGGGGCATAGGAAAATCGACGTGTCGCCGCGTGGCACGGCGTGCACAAGCGTGACACGCACAACAACTCGAACACAGAAAACACGCACCTTCAAGGAAAACAGTGGTATGTCATTATCTTGGTACTGGTATATAAGTACTCTACGACGTTCCTGCGTTCTTAGGATCCTAGGAATCCTTGTACACAAACTTCTTTGTATGCGGTCAAAACCCCCATGCATTTATCAGCAGAAGGTTACATTGTCTATAGCTGTGTCTAATAGCCCACCGTATACATTCATTTACTACGTTTGTCTCGATGATCTCTTGCTTAACCTCTCAAACTTTCCTGTCTCTTCTTCCTCGACCTCCGCTCGATTTCTCTTGGTTCTGCGCATGCTTCTTGGTTTTGGTCTCGGAGTCAGTCCTGCTGCCTGCTGCAAAACTTCATCCTTCGTATCTATCTTCTTCTTTTCACCTTCCTTATCATCTATGTACCTGCTGTAATTAGATCCAACCTAAATATATGTTACCATAAACATTAATGATCTCGAGAACTAATACTCACCTCAAGGCTATCACCCTTCTCATCCTGAAAATTGAAGTGATTCAATCCCTCTCGAAGTCCTATATACGGATCCCAATTGTCCTGGTGATAACCAACGTCAAGTCCCCATTGGTACCAGCCTGCCACACCTGCCTCTCTTGATCGTTCAAACATGCGAGTTTCCAGATATTCGAGACATTCGAGGTCAACATCTATGGTATTTGAGCTATTTGAAGAAATCTGTCTTGTTGTTGTCTGGTGGTTCCAAGCATTGTGAAGGCGTTCAGACTCGGACATTCCTGTGGAAGTGCGATGAAGTCGATGGTCAAGGAACAAGGTTATGGCATGTGCATGTGCAAGAAGAGAGTGCCACTTGGAGCGGGAGATAGATGGCGTTTGACTGACAAATTTTTCGAACCAATTCGCAACTCGGGCTTGGTCTTCGATAGTCAAGCCGCCAGTGAAAGGTATAGTGCATTGATGTACTGGCTTCTTTGACTTTTCAACATATACCTTGGCCGGAACTTCTTCAACAGAACAATCTTGTGGAGAGCAGTGCAACGTCTGCAAAAATTCAAGATGCGGTTTCAGGGCATCATTGACCTCCTCTGTGTACGGATAATTCTCAAATTGCATGAGGATATCTTCTTCACTGAGACGCAATGGTGGATGGTCCCATCGTCCAAGCTGAACCAACTTCGATCTCAGTAGCATTTGTCAATGAAAGAACTATTCACATACCCTTGTCTGTCTGCGTTGGTGTTGGTTTCCCCAAAGCTCGTCAATAATTGAGCTCTGATCGACACTGACTATTGCGAGTGGATGTGGACTATCTTTTGAAAAGTGGCACCCTCTCCAGAATTTGACAACACACTCGAATTCATTTCTGCTCTTACCTTTTGCGCCTGATGTATGGATTATGCGCACTGGATAATAGAACTTTCCATGTTGGACTAATGCTCCTTTACCTGGTCTTGAGCAATGCTGAATCAATTAAAATGACATATTTGCATATCACTCACCGTAGCCGTGTATGAAGTCTTTGTGTCGCATTCTGAGCCAATTTTGCTGCTCTAAAAAGGACATTTGTGGTGAGTAACATCCGTGACCAGAAAAGGGTATTACCTCTTGCCGGGAATGAAGCTGTCAATAATTGCTCGTGAGTTCCCTGCACAGTCGTCACATTGGAAAGGCTCTCTTGTCTGCCTCAGCCCTCCCGCTCGACCTTCTTTCTGACATGCAATATGTGACCAAATGTCACAGTTGTCGCACTGAATGATATCACCTGTACTGCTGTTGTGAACCACTAGTGTCTCGTTTGTCGTTGTGATTCCACATCTGCACATAAACTGGAAGTCTGATGTGCCTTCTTGGAGGTATTCCTCAATCAAATCCACATTGAGACCATGGTCGAGAGTCTCTACAGAGTGCATCTGATCCTGTTCCTGTGGAGAGACTGAATTTGGTCCAAGCAGATTCTTTGAAGTTGGTGATGACAGGAAGGGTGAGGATTCATGATTGGGTTGATAGGACAAGGTGGAACGAGGAGGAATGCGAATGGTACCACTAGACTCAGCGGTTTCCTGATAGTCAAGAGTATCCAAACGGAATGGGTTTTTCAGCCATGTTAGGTCATGTGGGGTAAGTTGTGCAAACTTCGCTCGAGATAGCCATATTTTTGGGATGTGATGTCGAAGGCTGTCAGGTTCCACCATCATATGGTGAACTCTTCGAGCCACTGCAAGTTGTGAGGTGTATATGGCCTCTTGCATGCTTGTTCCATTTCGCAGGTGATATATAGCAAAGGCCCCAATGAAATCAGACGGTAACTTGAGAGTAGAGCTGCTGCCTATCAGGTGGGTGCCAGCAGTTGCGCCAGGCTCAACATATGGACAACCGCCATGAGCCATATCATCGTAAGTCCAGACTGTTTTCCCATCTTCATCTAAAAATCGGCTGATATAATGATTTTTACTGCGGCTGTAGAAGATTCGACCAACAATATCATAAGTCACTGTTGCCAGCTCCCCAGATTTGTATGGTTGCAGTAGCGCTGGAAAATTCCAAAACTCTGTCGATGCTGTACATTCTTCCTCCTCCAAAATCAATACAACAGGCAGGGATAAGATAAACTTTACATCTGTCTGATTGCCTTTGCACCAGGATTCTCCATCCCTTGCACACCAGCATGTAGGAAGAGCTTGGGGAGAATGGTTCACATTAGCAAAGGTTTGGAGCCATGACAGAAGATCACCCTTGAACTCTTGGCATGCAGCTTGTCGGAGAACAATAAGGTAACGTATCTCTGGTTTCTGGCACACCTGGTAGTGGTGACCATTGCCATCACCTGAGCAGTGCTTGACAGTGACGAACATGGTTTGGAAGTAGGACTGTGTCCAATTGTCATCATCAAGATCGTCATTGAGCTTATCCTTCAGTACTTGAGGAAACCAATCCTTCCAACAATAGGTAAGATTCAGATATGATTGCTGAGATACATGAGATGAATAACTTACAAAGGCATTTCCTACTGCATTATCTGATTTAATTATCCTCCACTCTACAAGGCGACGTCGGAATTGGTCACGCTGACTACTCAGAGCTGTAGAGAGATCATAGTCAGGGACCTTCAGAATGAATGAATCATGCTCAGCATTTCGCCGGAGGAGCATCAGGTTGTAAAAATCGCGGATAGGACGTTCAGTTTGTGAGTCAGAGCTAAAACGGCTTGAGAAACTTGCCCAATCCTTGACTATACTGCGATACAGAAGATCCCAAGCTGAGTCAGCCCAACAGGACATGTTGTCCCACCGGTAACTTGCTGGCCCTACTATTGCTGAACTTGTGTGATGTGTAGACGGCAACTCTTTTGACTTTTTAGGTGTCCTCGAAAGAAGATCCTTCTTGGTGTCTGGAGGTCGTCCATCAGATTTCTGTTTTGTATTTCGCCCACCAGGTGCTCGACTTGGTTTGCTACGGCCAATCAGATTGATCATTGCCTTCCAAGGCTCTGCCTTCCCATAGCGGATAAGGCCCCCTTCTAGAAGCAAAATTAAATTTAGAGCAAATAAAAAGGATAACCCAGCTACGTACCAAGATTTGCAGTGAATAGCTTGACGGTTGTCTCGGCAACAGCATGTAATGCTTCAAGACCTTCAAGGAGACCATGGTCCCGTCCAACCGCACTATAAAGCTTCCAATGTTGAGCTTCTTGTGCATTCGTTGTATTCGGTATTGAAGTCCAGATATCCGGCTCCATCTGGGTATGAGTTTCGAAAAGCATTCTTGCATTACTCTCGCGAAGCCACCATCCAAGCCATGAATTAGTGAGAGGAAAGTCGCGTTGAATTACTTCAACTCGTGCATGGAAGTCATCAAGATCTTTGGCAGAAATGAGGCCCAACACTAGTTCCTCAAAGTGTTTTTCTGAATGAACAGGAACAACGCCATGAATCTTTTTGATTCTCGTAACAGATGCACGGAAATGCTCTTCACACCCCCGGAGCAATACCTCAGCAGCACTATAGAGTGTGTCCTCAGAGCGAGTGTTTTCATGTCGCTGCATCCAGAAAGCAACAAAAGCTTGAATAAACCCATGTCGTTCAGCTTGCGAAAAATCAATGATCTACCAAAATGTCATTCAAATTCCAGCTTTGATAACTGTGAGTGGAAGAACGCACCCCAGCAAAATGTCTATCAGCTATGATTGTATCATTTGCTTCACACTCGTGTGCAATACTGAGCATCAGAACCAAGAAATGGTGCATATAATGCTCTGCACTAGCACCATCACTATAACTGAACAATTCTGGTACCCAACAGTGCAGCTCCGCTTCGTAAATTGAGCTTGTGATGAGAAGAGAGTTCCGTTCCCGCCAGAATCCATGAGCCGCATCGGAAACAATACCATTGACTGGTTCTTGGTGATGTTTGAACATGCCCCCAAGTCGACTTCGCATAAATTCGCTCTGAAGGCAGATCATGTTAATTTCGCCAAAGATGGTGTGAACTATGAATCCTGGAAAGTCTCAATGAAAGTCACGGAAGCCAGAAATAAAACTATCTCCGCCTGAGTATTTTGCTCCATTGATGACTTTTTGGTGATCCTTTGCAATACGGTCACGGTTGTTGTAAACTGGACTAATATCCGATGCAGACTTCCGTTTACCATGCAATGTACGGCGACCAACCAAGAGCTGAGATGGCGTAGTATCAGGGTTAATATCAATAAGCTCCTCGAAGCGTGTCTGCTCGCCCGGTAGAAGATGGAGGATGTGAGTTATTCGTTGATGGTTGTGAAAGCCAATGTTTTGCCAGTGTTTGCCGCCCTGCCATGTCCAGATAATAGTTTTAACAGTGCATGGAAAATATTGTAGCTGTGCCCCACATTGGCATTGCTTGACACTGCGGCTGACCCTTTAATATTCACACGAAAAACATATTGATCCCAAAATAAAATATAAAATATAATTTTCGATGCATTACTTGTATAGATAATAGAAACATTTCCATATAAATGGGCAGAATGACAATATTATACTTTTTGGCTCCAGATTTGCACGTTCTTTGTATCGGAAATGATTAAGTTTTCAGCGCGTTAAATAAAATCTGCTTTGTCCTCAAAATATTACCTGTTTCAGGTGAACAATGCAATAAGAAACATGATCAATATTGTTTGGAATTTATATCATTAATTGAACAAAAAGGATAATCTTAATCATCATCATTATCTCGCAATCAAAATTATCAATTTTACTTGAACAATAAAATGGCCGTTCAATGCACATTGCTAGGTCATTGCTTGGGAGTGCAGTGTGAATTGATCGGACGCGATGTGAGCGCCCTAGCAGACCTTCGTTGGACATTCAGCTCCCTCATGAGTTACCCCTTCTTCGGGTGCTGATTGCGAACACCCTGCATCTATTCAGGACGTTGCCAAAAGACACGCGAAGACTGATGTAGGACTCGGTAGGAGCAGGGGAAGAAATTCTATCACAATGCGTGAAGAGGTGAGCCTGTGAATATGAATATAGTGACTAATCTCATCACAACAAGTCTTAGCTTGGGGAAGAATTCAGGAAAGAAGCTGAAATTTGTCTAGGCTGCTGAGAGATATTGATTGCTGCTTGAGATTGAGCACTGTATAATTTCTGGGGTGGACTAGTGCGACATGAATAACGTGTTTAGATATAGGAAGGCAGCGACCTTACTGAACTGTTTCTTGCAGGATTTCTTGTGTCCCGCTTGCCAGTCTTGTTTCTGACAATATTTTGAACAGTATGCTGTCGCTCGGCAGGCACCGCACAGTTTCGAGCGTATACCAGGCAAAGGATTACCGGGGCACTAGACAACGCAATGAGAGTGTATACAGGGTACAAACAGTAGCCACCTACACTTTCATTTGAGAGACTGTCTCTATACTCTTTTCGAAGCAGATTGACCTATAGAAGTATGCATCGGCGCAATGAACCTCACTCTCCGAATCTGACCAGAGCTTCCGGAGTCTTCCAAAGCCCAGATAATCTTCTGGGCCTTGAATACGCACTTTCGACAGGTTACGACGCACTCCTCGCACGACAAGAATAAAGATGATATTCAGGAGTAGTTGATGGATGATTTCCTCGAGGACGGTGTGAACTGAGTTGGGGGTATGGCAAAATGTGGGCAGAGATCCTGAGGCTAGCGTCTTTACCAACAGACACAATAGTCCACAGTCCAAGACTTTGACGATCCACTTCGAATCACCAGATATAGAACGCAAAAAGAACTTGGCGAGGTATTCAAAAGATAAGAGAAGGTTTATCCCTATGTCGTTGTTCTTGGAGAACGGCGTTGCATCCAAGCATCGATTCCATGAGCGGCGTATATATGATAGTATGACATCGACCTCTTGAATTACTGGAAGCGGCTGGATAAACATTACGGTCGCAGCCAAAATCAGGCCTTGGTTTCCCATCAAAGACTGGGAGTTCGGATTCGAGGACACCGACCATCTGGGAAATTCTGCGATGGCAGTTGACCACGTAGAAACTATACGTGAACCTGTGAGAATTGTACAAGCGTCACACACAACAACACAAAATGTATCTCCGGAATGGCTACCGTTCAGGATCTGAAAAAAAACGACAAGGAATTGCGTAGTAGCCTGATGGACGGGCAATGGCCAACGCAGCGCAAAAGAGAACACCCAAATCTTCCCAAGAATTTCCAGGGACTCTGGGGATTCTGTCAAATTGGAAACGAACAACTAGATTTCGGAAACAGAGCTGCTGTGGGGAAGAATGATAGAATTCATGGAAGAAAAGACCTGAAGAATACACTGGCTCCATGTATTGAAAGAAAGCGCACTGGTTCTGGATTGAGCATCTTGAAAGGAATCAAGAGGACGTAACAGAGCCGTCAACCACAACCAAATACAAGACCAGTTGGGTTCAATAATGCACAACCGACTCTGTAGAAAAGATATTTCAGACAAACTTCGAGTCATCAGATGGAGCACGTCGAGAGCCTCGATGACTTCGGGAGATAGAGGAAGGCTTGCGTCAATGACTGGAGGAGGAGAAGCGATGGACCGAATGAATCTCCGGCGAACAGATTTCTGAAGTATTATTAGATCGCTGCATGCTTATTCAATGATAACTCACCTTGATGGTCATGAGAGGAAACTTTTTTTTCAGTTAGCGAGGCAATCCGTTGGTAAACAAGGTAGTCAAAGTGAGAGTTATATAGTTCACACTACGGAAGGCTCCGAGCAGATAGGAGCGGATATAACAAAGGAGGTTTTATCGTACTAAAAAACCGCCAACTGCGTCGGCTCAGCCCTTGCTTGCAACAATTTTTAGCTTGTAGTACTCCGAAGGGCGTCGATATGACTTACAGAGAACTAACTTCAACCGAACTCGTGAAAAAGAATAAGAAAAGAGATGAGATCAACGGATCGATATCACGGTGGAACACGACGGGCGCTTATGAATTACAAGCAAGGATGAAAAACTTCATTCAGGGCAAGGTATTTTGAAGCTCTGTTGCGGTCTTTCACTTCATCTGAGACGGAGAATACAAATTTAAATACAATTCACCGGTGAATGTATACTGAAGAGTAACAACACTATGTACGAACAGTATGCTTAATCAACATAAGAAGAATGGAATGATACAAGCAAGATTTAGAAATAGAGAAAGTTATGACAACAAGAGACCAGTGTTGTAGCCTCGATGACGATCGGAATGGGGCAGGTGTGAACTTCACGTCGATACACACAAGGTGTCGCCCACCCTATTTACCAGGACGCGATTATCGAAAATGAGAAGCCTAACATTGAGGTCAATACGTGCTCATCAACCGAAGGAACATTTCGCAAGTAGCAGAAGCTGATATCGGAAAGAGGCTGTTAAGCTGGGAAAGTCGCTGCGCTGGGAGGGAAGGGTAAAGGGGTGGGCCCGGACTGAAATTCGAGCGGCCACTTCAGTGGTTGACGGGTTGGAGACGGAATGCCTCTCGATTGTAACATATTGTCGACAATGTTCTGAACAAAATAGTTTGGGACGGGTGTGAAACATCCTTGAACCGTGCGGCAATCGGGGCAAGCGAAATTCATTTTTGCCTTCAAATACATGTCTGCTAATCTGACAAGACAGTCCTTGCAGCTGGTATGACCACAGCAGAGACTGATGCACAAAATTTCAGTCCATTCAATGACCAGAAGAGAATAAGATACATACACGAAAGGTTGGAACAAAAATTCGAGGCAGTATGGACATCTGTTCCGAGTGTCTTCAGCAGCGCGTAAAGTCTGTAATTGTATCAGCAAGTATCATGAAATATGTTTCAACAACTACATACCGCAGCTCCCTGGAGGGCATTATCGAGATCCACACGAGCTTGACGGAGCTCATTCTTCAGTTCAACTTCGCGGAGATCGTTCTTCAGTTCGACTTCGCGGGAAGATGACAATTTGACCGGTAAACCCTACAGCCATAAGACGAGTCAGCGTTAGGTTAGCCAAGAAAATGTTCACTCACTCTAGAAATAAACTCCGTCTCGGTGTCAGAATCAGCATCAGTGTCCATTTCCAGCATGAATTCCTTGACCTATGTGAAACAAGTCAGTGAGAGAAACTAGAGAGGATAGAGCTGATATACTTTGCTCGAACTCGATGTGCTCGTGAATGTAGATGAAGATGGGCTTGCATTAGAGATCAGGTCCAACAGCGAAGCGGACGAGGGCGGTGTCTCAGGAAGAACAATCGGAATCTCATAGTCAAGCGCGAGATTTTGCGTCGCATATGTACGCGTCGGCGGTGATACAAAGGCACTGCGATAGCGCGAGGGTGTGTTCGAGGTAGAAGCTGCGGGAGGGCTGCGGAGACGAGAAGGTGTGTTCATACAAGAACGAGCCTTGGATTTTCTTCCGTACACTCTGCTGGGGGTAGGAGGAGGCGATCCAAAGACCTGAGACTTTGCAGATTGGTCGGAGGATTTAGATTGAGATCTAAGAGAGCGTTCTGGAGAGGTGGCACGAGTTTTCGTTCGACTGGTTGCACCCATCTGTCGCCGATGAACAATAAAACAGTAAATTATGAGAAGAGGAAACTGATATGACAGGAAGAGATCACAGAGGCAATTTATAGATGATTCGTTTGTCCATTTGCCCCATAATCCATGTCGCAAAGATCTCGGAGCTCAAACGAGTCTTTAGGAAGAAGTGGGGACAGTGTTGGTTGCCGAACCTCGATGGGCCTTCAATGGATTACTCCGGAAACGGGCCGCCGTTGCTTTCTTCTCGCCACAATGGACTCTTTTTGCAAGGTGTTAACATACAACTGCTGCGGCTTCACAATCTTCTCCACAAAGAAAGTTACGAATCTTTCGTCTTTCATAAGAATCGACAAAGAATCAAAACCGATTTACGACCAAACCCTTGATCTTCAATGGCGATTTCGACTCTGTCCTCTGCTACCGCTATGTCTAACTCTCCTACGCGCGGCAATACTCAGTCCAACAGACGCGGTGCAGCTACAGCCCAGGACCATTCTGGGGTCATCGATCAGACTTCTTCATTTCCTTACAATATTGCAGCTAGCGTCGTGCTAGTGATATTATATTTCCTTGACCGCCATGGTGACCTCTTCCAAATAGTTTGGAATTACACAGAGTTGAATCTTTATCCTTCTAGATTTTGTCAAATTCCATTCGATTCTTCAATTTCTCGATCTACGGCCATCTTTGTCTCGTTCTTTGCCCCCAAAGATCCCTTCGGTCATTGAGAACGCCATTGGTACCTTGAACAATAAAACGTTCTTTGTACGTCTTTCATCCTTGTTTACCTGAGCTCAATTCTGATCTATCGTCAAGTTCTTTATCTTGTTCTTCATCGTGTTTGCACGTTCCAAAGCGCCACTCTCGTTTCCTTTCTTGCGCCGCGGGCCTGTTGTAACCTGCACTGGCCTTGAATGGGAAGTTGATTGTATACTTGATGAACGGAAAGTTGGCCGCGGAAGATGCTACCTTGTTCGCTGGAAAGGCTTTGGACCCGAATCTGACTCTTGGGAACCCGGTCGTTCACTTCAGGACTGTGTCGCGTTGGATCGCTGGGAAGGCATCGCAGGTGCCTAAGACCTTAAACAGATTATTTACCAATACCGTCTTCCCTATGTGTTGCTCGCAGTGAAATGACGTTCTACTTGATATCTCGGGTGAAGACGAAAACTCACAATTGCTCACTGTCACTATCTTGCTCTACTTTTTGCCTTTGCTTCGTGTTGCTCCACAGTCCCCCTCTTCTCGTTCTACTTAGTATCTACATGTTGCTGATAACCAAATCGTCGCTATACCCACTGCTATAATCAGTTTGTAGGATCATTCCTCATCATATGTTCTTATTCTTGCAATTCATATATATATTTTACTCATAACTACGTATACCCTTTATCGGTGTCTATAAGCGAAAGGTGAACGATCTGGCTTTTTGACTCTGAGTTGCGTTGCATCAAATAACGGTGGAGATTAACTATGAATTCGAACCAAATCCGTGTACATTGAACATTACAGATATTTGCATATGAGTACTAATACACAGGACTTTTCAATCCTTGAAACGTACACACTATCATCAACAAGATTATACACACAACGAATGAACCACTTACCCGCGCCAAGGAAAGCATCACCACAAAGTCTGGAGCAAGTTCCCATCTTGCTGCATGTCCTAGAATTGAATCCAATGGTACGACATCATGATCACTCGAGAAGGACGGTGAAACGGTCCTCGCGTCGAATCCTTGATCAGAAAATCGGGCGAAAATATCCGGAATTGGTCCAGCATAAGGGCGGCAGCGTACAATGGCCATTTTGGTGGTGCCTTCATGCTCAAAGATATATCTGATTTGTCCCATAAGCGACGTTCCTCAAGAACTATTTTTCGGCGGACGGTAGCAGACATAGCTATTACCGATAGGACATAGTGCAGGAGTGCCATAGAAGCCCTTAGGTGCTGGGACTTGCAAAAAACAGGTTGGATCCAGCTTCCCTATCTTCTTCGCAAGTTCCACAGGCAACTTCATCGATACCTTGCGAGTAGCAAGATCAACAGAGCATTCCAAAATTTCCTTTGGGTTTGCACCTTGTAAATCATTCGCGTTGTTTTGAGAAAGCTCGTTCCGCTTGTCGTATCCGTAAGCTTTATCCAGAAGATTTCGACAAAATTTGAGAAGTTCAGGGCAATCGGGTAGCATCATCCAGCGGCGAAAGGCTGCATCCTTGTAGGTAGACTCAAGAATAGTAAACTCGAATTCACCTGCGTGCGCAATTAGAAAGAACAAACACACTTCAACTTACTTACCAATCTTGTGATTGGTTGGAATCCACTGCAACCTGCCAATCATGGTTTCAAACGGGAAAGCCCACCAATTGCGGACGTTAGAGAAGGAATCCATGAAGTCGAAAATATGGAAAGAAAGATGATGAGAAGGCAGCATGAATCCAGGAAAGTTCGACTTTAGGCCTTCGATATGTGCCCTGATGGAGTTTCTGAACAGATTACGACGCTCTGGGGACAAACTGTTGCTAGTCATTGCAATGGATGCACAGGTAAGATGCATAGAAGTTTGCAATACAGGGGCCATTTCACTTGCATTGTCGGCTCTCAAAGGAGAATCTTCGTCCCAAATACTGATGAGGGCCAAAGGGAGATGAATCGAAAATAAGGTTCGCCAGTTATCAGCCTTCAGTGTGCCCGCTCGTTTGAGTCCAATTTCTTCTGGTGGTCGATTCACCCAAGAAGGGGTTATGATTTCTCGCACAGCTTGCTGGATCTTCTGTAGAACATGTGTCGAGTCAATCTTAGCTGGAGCCAGGCGTTCCAAAGGTTTGTTCAAACGCTAAACATGGGATGAGCTTATTAGCGCGCGATATGGATCCTGGACGCACCCATTCAACCAAATGCTGAACTAAGTCTGCTTTCCCGAATCCTCCGACGGGAAGACAATCAACGTCTATGCAGACAAAAGCTAGGGCCGTGAAAGGCAATTTTCCAAGATTACTCTCGAGGTGCAATGGATCTTTTTCTACCGGTTGCGTTAGGTATCGATGTATAGTTCCAATTGCATGCGCACTATGCAAATTCAGCTGTTTGGTCAATTCCGTTAATAGTTCGATGCGGTCTAGAAGCGTGAATTGGTGGACTTTATTGAACCGTCGCTGATCCTCGTACATGTCGTGTAAATGGAGCCACGGAATTGAAGGTAACGGCTTGTCCTTGGGCACAAAGTGAGGCCAATTGAATCGTCCTGGCTCAACCTTATGCAATCGCTACAGGTAAATCATTGACCATCAGCTTACATCGAGGTCCAGAAGATCAACACACCCAGTGAGCCAGAGCCTGCCTGAACATTTTAACAGTTATATCTCCTTTGTGAATCGAGGATTGCGAGAGGAAATCATTTACTTCACTTTCCTTTTTGCCTTCACCCTCACACTTTGCGGCTGGAAATTCAACTAAATTATTGCAAACAAAAGCTAGAACGATCCACCTGTGAGAAGATAATTTTTTGAGAAACTTCAACTTCTCCGCGTCTTTAGCAGGCGCAGGAGATGAGAGCAATTGGTAAAGGTCATACACCCCTTGAAATGCTCGAGGATCACTCTGAATGGTGGAGACAAATTGCTTGTTCCTCGACAAACGAGCAGTTTTCTGTTCAGGGGTAAGATCATTCCATTCCAGTAGTGAAAGCCGCTGATCTTGAACTTCGGAATCGTCGACTAGTGCCTGGAGGGTATCGCTTATTCGACCGATCTCGGGCTTCGTGCCCAGAGGAGTGAGATCAGAGGGATGAGGCGGAGGGGTGAAATCGTGATAAAAAGATATGTAAATCTGTTTCTTCTTCGCCTTTCCTTTTTTCCGCTTGGGATTATCCTGTTCAGAGTCATCAAGAACAGCACCATTGCTGTCCGGCTCTGGATTATCAAGGCCAAGCGCGTGACGAGCAAATCGCTGCATAAGAATGGAGAAGAGAGTGTGCATAGGCTCAATAAGCAACTGCATTATAGGGTTCCAATATGGCAATCGCCAAAGTTCTGAGGAACGCGTGCCATAGAAATTTTCGACCTGTTTGCGCTGAGCTACTGTCTTTGCATTAATCCATTCTTGAGCTCCTCTTTTCAAAAACTCGATGTCTGCAGGTCTCCAATTCTCAAAATCAGTCCTCCCGATGTGACTGATATGCCAGCATTTGCACAAAAAACAAGTGGGGTGAGAGGTTACATCCATAAATCCTCCAAACGGTCTAGCTGCTTTGAAGTCCATTGACGCTCCTGCAATCGCGACGCGAAATATCCGGCTGTTCGAACTCAAACCCATCTGATGGGTTTTATGTGTGTGAAAAGGGCGGAGTCCACGGGAATACCCTGCTTCGAGCTCAGTGACCAGTTGACGCCAATAATGGCGGTGCTCGCTCTGCTTGGCATCCGGTTCTTGTCTGCCTTGGATAATGCCAGGAATGTACACCCAAGCCTGGTTGTTACGCATCGAGGGAGGGAGATTGAGACAAACGAGACCGGTGACACCCGTTGAACTGGTTTTGCCATGCAAACTAGCGCCCTCCGCATTGAAAAAATCGGCATACAGAAGGAACAACCATCTGCCCTCTTCTCCTTGTTCTGCAATGAAAAGCTTCCCATCATGCCCCTTGAATGAATGTACAAAGGTACCATCTTTGAAGTCCCTCTTGACCTCAGGGGGTTCGTTTACTCCGGAGATATCGTCACAGAATTTATCACCATACTGTTCAATTCCAGGGTGTGCAATGAAGCGGCCAAACCACTCATAGAAGGAGTAATAGTGGTAAGTTTTGATGGGTTTACTGTCAAACAGGAGCTCTGCTCCGCACGGTTCCGAGTTTTGCATGATACGTTCAGAGCAATGAGTGGGATAAACTGGAGCGCGAGAGTTTTTGGGATACATCGGTGGATATGTGTAGCTGCAGGAAGGGCACACTGTGTAGGGAACACTGGGGACGTCCATATTCAACCTCGTCTCCAAAGTTTCGATTGACTCTGGGATATCCTCGAGCGCTTTTGTCTGTAGAAGACTTGGTCCTCCAGTGAGCAATGTAATCGAAAGGCCATAAACTTTCAGCAATTTGAGTAAGACACTAGAACCTCGCCTTGCGACTCCCTCAAAGACACGGCTGACCAGAGCAATCGTATAGGCTACAAGCGTGGGAGTGTTCCATTTATCGATGGCCCCCGCAAACAGTTTACCTTGAAAACAAGATATCAGACTAATATTTCGCAGATACATATATAGAACGTACTATTATCGATCTTGACGGGAGAAAATGTATCTGGATAATCCTTTCGCCACGTACAAAGAACCAACTGTAATACTTCCATCTCCTGTGTTACCAGGCGAACTTGGCTGTCTGCCTCTGGGTGGTGAATATCTTTGATTTTGTTGGAAACATACGCAAGGTGTCGCTCTGCACCATCTAAAGTAGTGTGAATCGCCTCAGGGAGAGAATCGTTGGAAAGCAGATGGAGGTCGCGCTGAGCGCCGGATACGATATCACGTAGACGTTCGGCGGTTTTGATGGCCCTCAATGCTACAACACTGGGAGCTCTCAGCGGAGGTCCACTGGAAGCACCATCTGACAGGTCGGATTGTAATTTAACCCTCGTTTTCTCAAGCGCATCCTGTTGTGTCAATCAAGCCGAGACATGAACCAAATTCTGGAGCACTAATTACCGTCAATTCGTCCACCATGGCGTCCTCATCGAAAAAGGTCGATAAAGAATGATCACTTGAACGAAGATCATCCCGATTTGCAGGTGCCGTGGAGGTGCGTTGTTTCCTACCCTCCTTCTTTAGCATTCGTGATACAGGATTTGAGGAGGATTGAGCTGGCGTCACTAGTGCAGCTTCATTGATCGTGGGCAGATCTTCTGGTGCAGATACTCCACGGCCTTCAACGAATTTGGACGACAGGAATTGTGCGTAGCCCTTGTTTCGAGGCATTCTGAAGGAGAGATGGCGAAAAAGTATGATTTTGATTGAAAATTCTGGTCTCGACTTTTGGGGTTTCGTCGACCTGCTGGAAAAGTGCATCGAAGGTCTCGTGCCGAAACCATAGTTTCTTCACCTTCTTGATATCCTGCTGCGTCGGAACACCGTCAATGAGAACATCTTCGACGCCATCTTCTTCGTCAGACATGCCACGCTCTCCAAATGTCTTAACAACAATGAGTACATAGGTCCAGAAATTCTCCAATTGCTGGTTATTATGCTCTCGGGCAAAGTCAATCATGATGCTGGCAATCCTAAGTCGACTTGAGTGCTTCTGCATGGAACCAGTTAGAAAAGAACAGGCAATGGAAAAGTGACTGACCCAATGACGAACACTTGAGATTTTACTAGAGTTTTGGCGTCGTTGATACTCGGCTAGCAACCTTTCTTCTCTTTGTAATTCCGTTTCACCTTGAAGCAAACGGTTTTTTCTCGATTCTCTTGTAAAAATGAGAGAATCTATCGCGAAAAAGACGCTTCCACTCAACCTCGTCTCCAAAACGGCCGTCCTGGCTCTCAGACTGGATTTTTCTGGCTTCTCGAGCCAACTTTGCAATCAACGCCCTATTCCATTTTGAATTCCTCATTTGCGACGCTGAAAGTCCGTACCAATGGAGCGACGTGCTAAGGAGTTTAGGCCCCGCGCTGTTGTCACCACCCACAAAGGCCATGAGGCGATCGCGGGGAGTAGAGGGAACATTGACTACTTCGTAGTTGCCTTTGATGTCCAACGCTCCTTGATACAAGTCGCGGGAAAGATTCTACGCAACTGACGATTAGATTCACAGATCAAATGAAGTAATGGCGATGCACGTTGATATTCTTTCTGACGTCGCTTTCATCGTATTGTGTTTGGGAGGCCTTCAATATCCATTTTCCGGCAACTACCCTGTCGTCACTTTCTGCTCTATGATCATCCTCATCGCCACTACCCCCATTTTTGCTGTCATTTCGCCAGTTACTCCCTCCGCCACCGCCTCCGTGTTCATCGTCACTTTCATTGTCGCTGCTACTGGACCCATCGTCACCTCCACCGTCACCACTAGTCCCGTTCCTGTTTTCGAGATCATCTCCGGGATTCCGCGCTTGACCACCGTCGTTCTGCCGATTATCAGCGTCACCGCAGTCACGACCGGTCTGTGCGCAATCGTCGTCCCGCCGATTATCAGGATTATTTCGCTCATTTCCATTGACATCCCCTCTGCCTTCTTGTGCCTTTGGTGTAACTCATATCATGCAGATCAATACACGACTAACAATTTCCAGCTTACCTGAGTGCTTCCACTACCGCTCGCCGGTGCGTTCTGTGTGGAATGCGTCAAGTATATGACGGGAAAACAACGCCGTTGCCACTTACATTGGACCTTCCTGTATGTTCCCTTCGCATCCCTTTCTCGGTTGTTCCCTCATCCTCAGAATCGGTGTCGACTCGAGGTCGCTTCGACTAAGGGAACCAGCATCAATTTTCACGTCCTGAGATGGAAATACAGAACACACATAGATAGAAGGCTTTCGATGTTGCGATGGTTTGCGATGTCGTGATTTCGGGATAAACTGTTGGCTGGGTGGCCTAATTTCCTACAAGGTAACACAGCCAGTTCACCATTGATATCGGTAGATATGCGGAGGCATTTACCTTTGATGATTGCAGAATATATTGCCTTTTCGTAGTCAACTGAAGTTCCGCCGCAACAGGAGCATTACAAAGACTTTTATTCAGACCGCCAAAACACAATTCTTGGGATACTTGCACTGATGGCACTGATGCTTTGCCAATAAATGCCTTCGAAAGTGATTTCGTCAAGGAAAGTTCAAGGAAATCAACAGGAATAACCGTACGACAGAGTTTCTTGAAGACACCGAAGATGGTTCATGAGTGGCTGATGCAGTAAAATCCTCTGATTGGCCGTGAGAGGAATATGGGGTACTAATCCTTGTGTGAAGCCTATCCTGCATTTGTATATCTCTTGGGCTGACCTGTTAAGAAGAATTGGTGATTCTGTCTTGTGAGGACGGATAGTTACAAACGCACAGCGGGGGTTTGGAATTGATCGGTTCGCATAGTAGAGGGATTATCCGTAGTAGAGCGATGGTCGATCTACAGATAATCGACTCAATAATCGACTCGCAAACGCAGTAAACAATGAGGAGAGGCACACCTTATGATATTCTAGTATATCTTGTAATTCCTTGATTCGTAAAGCCTTCGCAAGATTCTCGTCTTGTAGAACGGAGACTGTAGGATGTAGATCCTTGTTCCGAATTTGTCGTTGTGATTGCATCAATTCGTACTCGAGATGCATTATCTGACGTTGCATTTCCTTTGCTTGACCCTGAGATGCAGCCAAATTCTGCTCGTTCTCGGCGACAAGATCCTGATGTAGATACAGATACCTTCAGTCATGTTCAACTGCTAGATTATGGCAGTCGGCAACCATACCTTTACTTTTGCATTCACTTCATTTGCTAGAATAAGCTTTTCCTGCACGGCTTTGAATTGCTCCTGTAAAGTTCGTTCAAAAACTGAGCACTACATGAACAGGTTATATGTTCGCACTGATTGAAGATCATGCGCGCGCTGTAGTTCGGTCAAAAGGGTCTAAATGTATGGGAGTTAGAGGTGGGCAGACATCTATCCTGATTAACTGGTCCATACCTTGGCAACTCTTGCTTCGTTATGACGACGCGAGGCAATTAGACGATCCTAATATATATATGAGCAATAATACATAGAAGCGGAGTGCTCTAACGGACCTCAAGTGATTTGCAGGTAAGAGCATGTTCCGTTTCTTTCTTCAGGAGGGTCGCCTCCAGGTCTCGAACTCTGCCTTCTTCAGATTGCAGATCTGCTTCAAGAGAATCGCAAGAGTCTTCTAGTTGTTTAACAGTGGCCTTGAGATCATTCAGCAAGGATGAAGACGTAGTGGAAAATAGAGGACCTGACAAACCTCAAAATACGTGATATCTTCTTGCAGAGAATCGATTTGCATTTGATGATCGATCTGTGCGAATACAATAAGGAGACGGAGAAAATGAGACAAGGACAAGTTACCTCTACAGAATCTATGTGATCATTTTCTTTGTCCTTTTGCCGCAAACTAGCCTCCAACCTGGAGATCTCTCGTTGGTTTCCTTGGATCTGCGTCTCTTTTTCTTCCAATATTTGCCGCACGCTTTTGATGTCTTCTTGTAAATTACTGAGCTCTCGTTGTGAATCCTGTTTGACAGAATGAAATTACCAGTGATACAGGACAAAACCAATTAATGAAGCATACTCTAAACTCTTGGTTCTTGCATTCCCAGGCCTCTTTGAGAGAATACTCAAGAAGATCTTTGCATCGATTCATCTCTTTGAGTGCTTCATCAAAATGTTGTCGCTCTTTCCGTTGTTCCTGCAATTTTTCCTGATGAATGCACTGAGCGATGTAGTGACGGAGTATCTGTTACTCTTGAAGCACTGACCTGGAGCACTCTCGAGGCAGAAGTTTGCATGTCCTCGAGCATCAATTGGACATCCCCATTCTCTGCCTTCAGTCGACCCACTTCTTGTTTAGCAGCTGTAAGTTCCTCTTCCAGTGTTCCACTACTTATGGCCCATTCCCGTTCCAGACTTCGATAACCCTGCAACGCGCTGTCAATTTCCAAAAGACGCTGATCACTACGTCTGAGCTGCGTGTCTTTATCATCTAGCACAGTCTTAAGGGCTTTGAACTCCTCTTCAATAGTATCGAATTCTTCACATTTCCGCTGGTGTCACGAAGCGGCAGAGGCGGAGTGACTAATGGAGCAGGAAAGCGGAGCGACTAAGCAGAACGGTGAGGCGGAGCAACTGGACAGGGCAACAAGGCAGAGCGACTAAGCAGAACGGCGGCAGGCTGGTCCCAGATAATGACAGAGATATATTGAGTATCGTAGTCATAGGTAATAATAAGTAAGCACATACCTGGTCCCAGATAATGACAGAGAGGTCAAGATAAGGGACCAGGCTGTGGAGGGTTGGCTATATATACATAATCCGGTCTGCGAGAAACAACGATGTAATACTGTACAGTTTAGGAACAAGGAAGGTGGCGGAAGCCAGTAGAAGGAGAAGATGGGTCAGGTGGATCAGTAATCGATGGATCAGTAATCGATGGGGGTTTGACAGTGATGGGATGATGTATCGTACAAGTAAAGGCGTCGAGACGGTGAGAAAAGGAAAATGATAGGGGCTGCGTACTTTATGACAGCTGGCATGAGATGATGAATTATGGTTCGAGAATCACAGGCTAGTTAGGACAGACCTTGAGCTCCAAGCTCTTACACTCCCAGGCTTGCTTTAGAGAAGCTTCAAGGAGGGTTTTGTGGTGATTGGTGGCAAGGATTTGGGCTTCGAATGAGTCCGTTTGGTGTTCTTGTTGCGCAGTCAACTCTACCCTAGTATCCTACGAGCAGTCTGAACACTGAACAGTTAATGCAAATTGGGAACAACAGACCTGAAGTTTCTTGGAGTTCGTAGCTTCAATAACTCGAAGTGAGGACTGAAGTTCCTTGTTCTCCAACTGCAATTTGAGCACTTCTTGTTCAACGGCCGCCTTTTCCTTTTCCAACTTGTCGTTCTTTGCTTGAGATGATTCGCCCTGTCTGATAGTTTCCGAGGAACGTTCCCGGTCAAGTTGCTGCATGGCCCCAACATCTTCAGGCTCCAAGGAGCTGGGGTTTATTGAGTTCTCTACTTCGGGGTTCATTTTTGCCAGGGCCTCTACTTCCCCATCCTTTGAAGACACTAGTCTCTGGAATTATTTTTCAATAAATGAATCATATCGACTTGCAGAACATGCTCACCAATAACCAGCTCTGTATGTCCACTGACAAGTCTGAACGTTCAGTGAGTGTTCTGATCGACGCCTGAAGCTTAAAAATGTATTTTCGATATTCGTCGATAATTTCATTGCGTACGTCGCCTTGAACCGAGTCCTCCTACGACAGCATATGTGTAAATGCCGTTGTACAAAGAAAAGCTTCTAACCTGTGATTGGTTTTCTGAACACGGCGGAGCGTCAAGTAATCGAAAGCAATTTCCTTCACTCAAATGCTCGGGGTCTTGTTTGACTATGTTTTCAACCGATGTACCAGTGGTTTCCTCCCGGATGCAGGCCAATTCCGTTTGAACTTCTTGATGAGCCTACACAGACATCAGCGGGAAATCTTCGACAGGCGGAATGATGCTACTTTACCTTAAGTAGTTCGCCATACCTCTTATCGAGATCTTGCAACTCGATCTGCAGCTCATTCGACCAACGAGACAAAAACTGTCGCTCAGTTTGGAATTGAATTCATAGCCCATGAAAAGCACAACTACAAACTGTATTCTGTTCTTCTATATCGCAGATATTCTTAATAGCGCCAGAGCGATTAAAAGCTTCAGTAAGCCTCTGCAAAATTTCATTAGTCATTTCAAAACAGCGAATGATGATTGCATGATGATTGAAAGAGTAGCACACATACACGAAGAGCATTATCAACGGCACTAGGTCCGTCTTCAACATCCGAGTCGAAAGATCCGGGCTTTGATTCTTTTAAGTCAATGCTAAATATGATCTTGATTTTCTGACTTACCATGGTGCACAATCGTTTCTGCAAGTCAAGTATAAACGCGTCTTTGATAGTGATTTCTGCCTCTGCTATACTGAGTTTGGAAGATAGATCGTTATTGACTGCCAATGCCTGTGCGATCGTGCCTTGTTGACTGGCAGAATGAACCAGTTTAGCACGGAGGAAGATGACTTCTCGTCGAAGTTCGTCTGTATCAGCGGTGTAGACCAGCCTTATCTTCTAATAAAGATGAATTAGCAAGTGTTTCGTTGTTTAGACGACGATGATCGCTCACTGGGCAGCCTGGCTCCGGAATATCGTCTGCTAGTCAAGAGTCTGTTCTTTTTCTGGGGTTCATGGTCGCAAAGTTCAATCTGTGAGAGGCAGAAGCGGTTTTCTAGAGGGAATCGATGGGTATTTCCGATGTAGAACAAAGAAACTCCAACGTGTTCGGTAGATTGCTTTTTGTGTCCATTTAGAGATTAATGAATGTGCACTGAAAGCACGACGAGGACAGCATCTTTGTGTGTACACTCCAACGTTTGCAGAAGCCCCATTTCCGGCTGGGTGCTTCAAAGTGCGCTATGGATTTTTCCTAAAGTAGGCTAGTTTGAATATGGATGGTCACGTGTAACAAAATTTCCCGAAATATTATCTCTGAGCCGTTCTTATGTAGAGAATAGACGCCGGTACAGTCTGGACGGCGATTTTCGGCACCATTTCCCATTCCCACCGACGCCGCGGGTAATTTGCGGCTGCTGGGCGCTGAGCGCGCTCGGTACTTGTTTAGGGATCTATTATAGTCTTTTAATACGTTAGGAAATTTGCCTGACGTGCGAGTCCTACTTGTTTCAAAACAGGCCGAAAATCTTCGAATGACCGTCGATTTTGAGCACCTCCCAAAAACCCACGATAACTTTGCTGATCTCAGCCAGCCAGGATGCTTCAAAGCTGGTGCGCAGGTATGATATAGTCATACGATTAATGAAAATGCCTCATTCATATTTTAACCAGGAAGGATGCAGGCGTTCGCTCAACAATGGAACTGTCATTGAAACATTCATTAATAGACTTCCACCAGAGCTTCTGTTAGAAATCTTCGAAATCTACATCCTTCATTCAGGAAAGCCTGTAGCTCGGGCTGGTTATTCTCTTCAGATTTACGGCTCCAAAATGTCACGTCGTCTACGCGTGGGCTGTCGTGCTTTAGGACTAGCAGGTATCTGCTCTCGTTGGCGATCAATTGTCCTGGCAAAATCCTCAATCTGGTCGTCATTCCATCTTGATGTTGAACTATTCCGGGATCGCCCCCAGCTTGTATCTCTGCTAAATACTTACATCTCCTACTCCCAGTCGGCACTTCTCTCCATTTCCTTGCACATGGATAGCTCCAACAATATGCTCACCTCAGTCAACGCCGAGACACAACAGATACTAAATGTGCTGTTTGAATGTGCCCACTGTTGGAAAAGTGCAAAGCTCACTATCCTGGACGAGAAGTATATCCTTTACCTTAACAATTGGTACAACTGCCGCTCTTGGGATATCTCTGCGAATTCCAAGCCTGTTGTCGCATTCTCATCTCTTGAAAACCTTGAAATTGAATACAGCAGTATAGGATATAGCTATCTGGTTGTCTTCCAACTGTGCCCGCAATTGAAGACATACCGTGTCAACCTTGCATCGTCAACGTCCGAAATTACCTTACCCGATGTGTCACATGTAGAAGAATTTCATCTCGGGTCCGAAGGTGTTGTTGGAGGGCCGTCTATTGGACACCTTCTTTGTCAAATGCCCATGTTGAAGATCTGCGCAATTGAAGGTTTTTACTTGACTAGAAACGACATAGGTGTCGATACCGAACAGGTCACTCCGAACAGGTCTTTCCTCACTTCATTGAAAGTTTGGTCTTATACGTTTCATCTACATGCCTGGAAAGACCTTCATCTTCCCAATTTGACCAGCTTGGAGGTCTATCATATACCGTTTACTGAAACAAGATGAATGGATGTCTCTCAGTTCGTAGATGTGCTCATGTCCGCATCGTCTTTGCAAAAACTGAAGCTTGAACATCTCCCAGAGCTGACAGCCATTGCTCTCCTTGGTTCTTGCCCATCGATAACGACACTACACCTCCTTGTTGATGGATTCCAAGGAGTGGACCTTTTCAAGCAGATGACACCAGCAGTTCCAAGACTTTCAGTATTGACTGTTCATTTATCAATGAATAGTTTTACGGTTGACCGGAGTGAATTTAACTCCTTCCAAGATCAATTAGCAGAGGCTATATGCTGTTTTGTGGACTCGAGATTTGCTATATCAGGACCAGTGGCTGCCGACTGGAACTCAGTGTCATGTACTGGAGAATTTGCTTTCCTCGAGCAGTTTACATTGGATGCAATCCACTTTGGCTATCATGTGTATAACCGTCGTTTCTGGTATAGACTCTCATTGATCTCAGTGCACTCGAGACATCTCAAAATTATATCAAACTCTACAACGATCTTACAGACAGAGGGTAACGGACTAGTAGCCTCGCATTTATGTATAGGTAAACGGTAGAGTTGCTGTACCTACATTCAAAATTCAGTCAATACCTGGAAAGATCAACTTCATGGGGCGTCGAAAATTTTCCAGACATCTGTTAAACCAACATACAAAAACGTTGGCAAGTAGGCTCTAGCCTGCTCCTCATAGGCACATGTTACAAGGGATTTTGTTCTCATTGACACACAATTCATTTTCGGCATTCAATCGCAGTTCTCCCTGAGCGCCAGGAAGTGCCCGGTCAGAGTTGCATTGTATTCGAACTCTAGGTATAAGCAAATGATTGTAAAACAAAAGCAACGAAGAGTTAAAAGGTAAACAAAGAGGTACATCGAAGCAAAGGTGGGCTGTATGATAAGTGGGAAGTCCGGACGCAATTCGGGTGACCCGTTCCTCCGTCAAAACTGGCGCGAGTTACCTCCGTTGAACAGTGGTGGTTGAATAGAGCCAATCGTACCAAGATCGCACAAGCGATAATAATCAAGGCCAATACGTCTATCGGTCTCGAAGATATGAATTAATATAGATTGCCTATACGATATAACTAGAAAATGTAGTTTCGTCATTAGTTTAAGGATATATATACTGGAAAGGTGCGTCTGGTCCTAAGAGTTGGGGCGATGACTTGCGCAAATCTACCACACAGTCAGGATGTTAGAGCCACTTTGGACACATTCCTAAGGCAAATCAAGACTCACTGTCGAACGGCCTTCTCTGCTGCACGTAGCTCATTGCTACGCAGGTTTCGTATTTCAACCTTTGTCCCACATACGAGGACTAATACGTCCCCTTCCAATGAAACATCAGCCAAATGTTGAATCGCTTGATTGACCGGTAGTAGTTTATGGCGTTTGTAAAAAAGCCGAAACTTGTAGCGTTTTCCGAGGTGAGAGATGCTGACGATCGTGTCATGAACGTAGGACTGGGTTCTGGGATGTGACAACTCGTCCGAAGCAAGCACAAATCTATGGCCCTGAGAATCTTCGCGATAAATCACGTCGATTGGTTGCGACGACAAACTGTTCGACCGGTAGATACGAGCACGTAACCTGCGGGTGGTCTAATGATAGACATAGATGAATATTAGAAGATGCCCAGTTTTTCTTGTTACTCACTGTTCGCCCAGTTATACATGGTAATTGATTCATGCCCATAGTGACACCGCAGATTCGAGGAGAGCTCGGGCGATGAGGGTGAAGTCTGAAGGAAATGAGAGCCATGGCGTCCTTTTTGACTCTTATGCACAATGGGACCTAACCAAAGAAACTTAAGTGATCAAAGGTATCAAAGACGCGATTGAAGGTCAGTTACGTCATCATTGCGAGCTGCGTAGATCGACAGAACGCTTCCTGCTGATCTTACCTTACACGTTCAAGTTATGAATGCGAACGGAATCCTCAAACGACGTAGCTCAGCGGACTTCGTCAATGATACCAGTGTAGGTTTGATATTTCTCTGTCCTCTAGTAAATGATACAGCGGCCTATGAACAGGTTTATAAAGTTCGAGTGGTGGAACCTGCGGAGAATTACCAGAAAGTGGGGTTTCCTCCGTGTTGAAAGGTACTATCTTCATATTCTCTCCAGGAACGACGGATAGAGGCTTTGGAACGCGAAATCGAAAGCCTCCACGAAGAAGTGGCGAATTTAACGGTCCGTTGAATCTGACCACTGTTCAGAAATCCATCTAATTAAATTCTTAATATTACAGTATTGTGAGGCCGAGTCGCTTCAAACTGCCAAGGCTGCGGGGTCTCAGCTCTACAAAGACAAATTACTTTGCAAGGCTCAGATTTCCCGTCTCGAGGCCCAGAACCGACAATTGATAAAGAAACTTTCTTTAGCTCAAGTTAGCCGTTTCTCCGATACTAATGTTATAGCACCTCATCAAATTGCAGAGCAACATGAGACAAATGAAGGAGGTCCTTGTCCAAACAGATGACCGCGACGAAACTCAAGTAAGATCTTTTTCCGAGATGGCTCATCAAGTTTGACAGAGCATTCAGGCGACGGAGCATGCGCATGGCCTTACAAAAAGAGAGGCTGCTGTGCAGACTTCGGACGACTCAGTAAGTCAAACGTTATAATTCTGCTCCTGATACCTGACGAAGACTTAGTCTTTTGACATTTGCGGTAAGATACCTAGCATTTCAGGTATTTGCAATGAAGTGTGTAGCAATTTGATCATCGTATGGCTATGGCACTGAAAATTGCTTGCATACATAGGAAGTGATAGATCATTCATCAGCCCCTGATGTTAGTATAGTCGGAGGATCATTTCTTCATTGAAGTGCTAATCACCTTATTGCAGACACGATTACCTCCAGGCGGCTCAGACCAACCGGATTCTGTGAGTAAGTGTTCCTTGTTTTGACCTTCTGTTGAATTCGCGTCATACGTACAAGGCGAGACCAAACAGTATCCCATATCCAACGGATGCGGTTACTGAGCAAGCTATGCTGTGGTTCCCAGATGCATTTGCATATGTGGATGTCAGTTTGGGTGTCGAGTTCACGGACTTACTCTTGGCTTGGATTGCATTGGAAAGGTCAAGTCAATGGAATACAAATCCTCAGGTGCGACTTCCAACTAGTAATCGCCCCGCATTGTTAGCAAGGTGGGTAGATAAGAAACGATACAACACGAAGGGTAACGAACCCCTCAAAGAGGAATGCGGAATCGACTTCAGCGAGAATGTCAAACAATGGTGGGTTTCGCTGCAGCCAGAATGGAGGAGAACGGCATGCCAGGAGAGCTCGGCGTCGTCAGATTCGAATTCACGACAACAGCAAGATTGGAGCCGCATCGATAAATTCGGCATCAATGGCTGGTACGGCATCATTGTATGTTTGAAGTGGTGGGGAGAAAATCTGCAATATCGAGAAGGAGGGAGCGCCGCGAGAAAAGAATGGGTGGATACTTTGAAGGACGTGTGTAACATGATGAAGGATCTGACAAGATACCGCGTTGCTCAAGTAAATTAGTCAGGTTCTGTACATTCACTGCCTTTCTAGAATCCAAAAAGCAGATGTTTTCTCCTTCGTCGTAACATGTAAAGGAGAATAAGCTTACAATGATATACTTATCGACTGAATGACAGGCAGGGTGTGGTTAGCAGCCAAATAAGTACTGTACTATGAAGACAAGTGGAATTAGAATTAGGGTTAGGGCTTGAATCAAAGGGCGCCTGATGTCAATGAACGCCATGGATTTCCTTTTGTTTTCCTCTGATGATTATTACATCTCCCAGTGGCTCACTGTGCAGTATATATATGACCTTACTTCATTGTTCACCGCTCACAATTTCCTTTCGCAGGTAGACATGTATGAGCTTTTAGCCACTTTGAAAGGTGCCCGAAATGCCGTCATTTCTACTTCATTTTCTCCTCAAGCTAGATTCATCGCGGCCGTTGGTAAGTAGTCCCTGTTATGGTAAACGTTCAACGTCCATTCATTCTTATGCCACAGGATATGGCGGTATATCTGTCTGGGATCTAGAAACATACAAAAACCTGCCAATATCATCAGACAATGTGTACAATCACCGCAATCCTGACAATGTGTATACCGCCTGTGCTTGGCTACACTTTGAACATGCGGATCGTTACCTTCTTATCATAGGATCTCAGAAAGGCACACTCTCGACTTTGAATTGGGATAACGAAACCAAGGTGTGACATACGAATTCCCTCTAGATTCCTTTGTCACCCTCCTTCTGTTTTTAGTCCTTCGAACCTAGTCTTCAAGTCCCACCCGAAGGTTCTCCTCATCAAGTCCTCTCGATCGACGTTTATCAAGCTGAAGTTCCACTTGGGAGGCTCGCTCGTATCGCAGTCGCGACTGCCGACAACCGAGCTACTGTATATTCGCTGTCTCCTTTCGGAGACCTTCAAGAAATTTTTTCCTCTGTCGTCGAAAATTTCTCTCTCGTCGCCGCTAGGTTTTGTAAAAAGAACCGCGATGTCTATGTCTTTGAGCTGAACGGGGGTGGAATGTAAGTTGACTTTTAACCCTTTCTTTTCCACCATCAAGTTTACTTTCACTTCACTTCACAGTTCACTGCTCGATGCTAAGACTGGCAATGTTAAGTCAACTCATAAATATGGCCCAGATCCTATGTGCATTTTAGTTTTTCTGGTTGTCCTTACTGCTCAATAATTCATTTCAGGGGCACTGTTTGTTTGGATGACTCGAGCAAATTCTTCGTGGCATGTACTGGAAAGGACTTCGAAATGTTCCGCCTCGAAAACATTGAGCATGTGCAGACCTTCTCAGGTGAACTACCCATAGTCCTTTTCCCCAAAGTTGCAACGTACGCAGAGGATGGGTCTGTTCTCGTTGTAGGAACTGACCGCGGTCATGCGTCAATCTTCAACGTTAGTGATGGTGACAAAATTCAAGACCTTCCTTATACCACTACTGGTCTTGTTCAATCCGTTGCTGTGAGTATATCATTCCAATCCTTCTTTCAGACTATCTATAACCTCTTCTTGTATGATATATGCAGGCAATTACCGCAAGGGATGGTTTCCTTGTTGCGATTGCGGGGTCGACGCTACATTCCCGTGCTGAAGTTTTGATATTCAAGAAAAGTCATGCTTCATTGGACAAATCTAGGGATAATCAGGCGATGGATCTCTTGGATGCTGTTGCGCCCAGAAGCACGCTTCAGTCCTATTTATTATTGATTATTGGATCATTTCTCGTAATAAATGGTCTCTATTCGCTTGTGCTCATGTGTAATTCATGGGTATGTCTATCCTCAATCTCGTATTTGAATATCTAACCTAATCCAATCCTTAGGCTCACTTCGCGGCTGAGGATACCACAACTTCTGACTTGCCGCCACATATCTGGCAAATTGCAAAATCCTTGCTCGCGCACTAGACTAGTCAAGATATTGAGCCATAAGGACCATGCAATCGAGTGAGATTTTGTGAATTTGAACTTGTTGGATGATTTCTGAGGTTTATTTACACGCAAAATATTGCACAGGCTCCATGATCCGTCACACAAACGAGGAAGATCAATGTGAATATTGCTGGAGAGTGACTCACCCAATTGGCGACGGAAGGGCAATTGCCTCAGGGTGCAACTAAATAACTTTCAGGCTTACTCGTATAATTTGGAGATTCTCGTACCTACAAGATGTGAAAATTTTTGTTGTATGGTTGATTGACCAGAATGTACGAATAGAGGATCAGTTGTGTATGTTTCAAGGTTAAGCCCTTCGACGAAATAGGAAGGAAAGCAATCGACGTTCATGAACGAGTAAATGGTCAATTAACTGTTCTTGTAAGCGAATATAATGATCCAGTGTGCAAGAATAGGGACAGATATGTAGATGTTGATAGTAAGTATATCAGAAGAGATTCGTCTTAATGACTGACGGGAATGGAGTAGACAGAATAGGCATGGGAAGGAAAAGACAGGCTCGGAATGGGATTTGAGCGACCATTGCATTAGCTGACGGCGGGGAGATGTCTTGAGTGAAACAAACGGTCGACAGTTTGTTGCATAGCATAGTCAGGAATGATAGGAAGCATTCTCAAACCGTGCGGAGGCAGAACAAAGAAGATTTATGTGTGTAGTCCCGAGTAATTACATTTTACAGGCCGCTATGAAATTTCCAGACTGGCGTCCGAAGGCAAAGTAGAACCGCGTGCGTGTTTTTTCTGGAATGAGAGGGTCAGTGTTTGGATGACGATAAAATTTTCTTTGGGCGCACATAGGCAGATGGTTTATTTATTTTCCCGCGTGGTGGATTGTGGATATCCTGTAAAATTTCAACGCAAGATCAATGGTCATTAAATATAACCACAGACATGTGGTGGAGAATTTGAGGCGTTTCTGTGGTTGGTCACCAATCGCTGAAGCTGAAGCTGAACATTTGCACCCCGAAGAGTCTTCTTGAGGCCTCCGTGAGGGATGGCACGCTGCGATGGTCGCGAATAGAAAGAAGGACGTGGTTCGATGACCTGGTCGTCAGGGGCAGCTGTCTGCAGATTTTCAGCAGCTTGAAGGCGGATCTGCATTTGTGAAATCTGAATCTCCTTCTGCTGTATCTAGAACCGGTAAATTTTCGTACGAGAAGGCACAGGGGAAGAATCCACCTGATCATTAGCTTGTTGAAGGTTATGTCGATATTCTTTGATTTCTTTAAGGATGTTCACTTGGTTTGCTTCCCGTATTTTCTGGTGGTTTCCACGATCATGAGTATCATTAGAACAGAACAAGAGTTTGAATTGACCTTCTGTTCGTCGTAGCGATTCTCTAATTCGATATAACGGCTCTGACAAATTGGAGTCTTGTTAAGCCAAAACAACGACACGTAACTCACTTTCGAAACTCTCTCTAATCTATCCTCTAGTCGACCCTGTCGAAGCTCGAACAGCTTTGTTCGAAGATTGCCTACTGAGTCCTGTTTCGATGTAGAACGCGTAAGATACAATCAATTACATATAAAGTACGCACATTGAGATCGCGAACCCTTTTTGCGTATCTTTCGTCTTTCTCACGCGCAGACACTTCTAACATTTCGAGCCGGTTTACTTGAGCGCGCAGATCCATCTCGAGGATTCTGCGAGAAGCCTTAGATTGTATCCATTGATTACTTTCCATCAAGAATGAGTAGTCGAATCTCCTGACCTCCGATTCGCTCAGACTGTTCATGCCCTCGTTCAACGCTTTCAGTTCCTTTTCGATTACGTCGAAATCGTGGCATTTGGCCTGTTTGGAGCATTCTGAAAGAAGTGTGCTAAAATGAATGGGAGGACATACCTGGTGCTTTTTTTCGATCACTGCTAATGCGAGAATCTTTGCTTCAAGCGACTGCTGTGCGGCTGCCTTCTCTTTGCTTAAACTTTGTAGTTCTACATCCTTGTCCTAGAGATCATGATTGGCCATTGGAAGGATCATAGACCGGACGACTTATCCGTAGCCTCTTTGAACTGTCACTTTGCAGAGTTTCAAGCAGTGACTGAAGATCTAAATGTCTGCCCCTAAGTTCGTCGAGCTCTTGCTTTGTGGTGGTCAGAGTACTCTTTTGTACCCCTGTTTCGATTCGAAGCCTCTGCATTGATTCACTCAAGGCTGCCTTTTCCTGTTGAGCCTCGCTGAGCTCGGTGCATTTGACCTATGCAAAACGATGTACAAACGTGAATGACGGTCTATATAACCCACGTACCTGAAAAGTTTTCTCGACTGCTTTCAAGGCATGGATTTTTGCTTCTAACGCTTGCTCTACCGCAGCCTTCTCCTCCTCCCTCGTCGCCTTCAGTGCTGCATTCTTTTTCTGAAGTTCGTTTGGTGACAGGAATATCGGAGCAAGTATGAGGGACACACTTCGAATTCCTTCTTTGCTTCTTTCAATGTAAGAATTTTTGCTTCAAGTAACTGGTCTGCTGCTGCCTTCTTCTTGTTTAAGCTCTCTATTTCTATATCCTTGTCCTGGACACAATCAGCGTTTATAAGGATCTTAGGAGGAATGACTTACTCGCATCTTCTTTGAACTGTCATTTTGTGCTGTTTCGAACAGTGATTGAAGGTCTGCATGTCGACTCTGTAGTTCGTCAAGCTCTTGTTTCATGATTTTCAGACCGATTCGAGTCCCGTCCATTGATTTCTCTATGACTGCCTTTTCCTTTTGAACCGTACCAAGCTCAGTGCATTTAGCCTGTGAAAAATCATACAGGAAATTGAATGACAAGTTCTATCACGAACGTACCTCGAACCTTTCCTCGACCGCGCTCGAGGTGATGCTTTTTGTTTCAGGTGTCTGCTGTTCTGCTGTTTTTTCATTTCTTCTTATCTTCAAATGCTTGGTCTGAAAGTCATTTGATATCAGAATGCAAATAACTTGCCTGCAGGTCCTTCGAGTTCGCGTCATGCACTGTCTCAGGCAGAGACAGAAGGTCTGCACAAATTTTCCGAGCTTCCTCGGAGTGTTGTTGAACGGGACGGAGATTCTTCGTGGCCTCTATTTCAATCTTCAGAGTGTCCTTCAATACGATATTTTCTGGCTCCTCTGCGCCAAGCTCGCTGCATTCGACCTATTCAAAGTTCTACCCTTATACACTTATTTTGCACCGCAGATTTAGAACATACCTGGAATTGTTTCTGCGCAGATTTTGATGCAGAAACTTCTGTTTTGAGTGAGTGCTCCAATGTTGCGTTCTCCACCTTCGACGAATTGGGTTTCATAGCCTGGGTCCTTAAAGTCAACGTCTGAGTAAGGATAGTAAAGAGAGTGACCTACCACGCGAGGCTCTTGTGCGGTCTCAAAAACTGGGTGAACGTTTGAGAGGTTTCTTCGTTGTTCGGCAAATCGTTGTTCTAGAGAAACACCTGGAAGTTCTTGCTGGGCACACAACCTCTTTGGTCTCGTGGGTACGGGTTCTGGAGTGCAGCTCGGGGACATACCTCAACTTGATTTTCGGAGTCCTTCAACACCAGAAACTCAGCCGTTTTTTCGGCTACAAATCCCTCTCCTCCTGATGCCTTCATTTTTGCACTCTTGGCCCCGGAATCGATTAAAATTTTGGAGCTGTAATGCTGCATTACCTGTACCTCCTCTGTACTTATGTTTTGTTCCAAACTTGGTGGATATTGCACATGCAACGACGCATGAATGGATTCTCCATCTTTGGCATCGGGAAGATTTTGCAGAGCTTCTCGCCCGGTCTGTAAACCTGGGTCGTTTTTGATTACTGTGGGGATTCCACAGTGTACCTCAAAGTTGTTCGAAGTGGTCTCCTTTGCGTCGGGTGTAAAAGACGCTGTTTCGTTCACCGTGTTGGCATCCGAATTCCTGGTCTAAAGATAGTTGAGGATCTGTACATCACCAATAATGGGCACAATCACTCACCTTCAATGTCTTCTGGTTTGACATCTGTCCCAGGATCGACTTCACACCTTGATTTTCCAGTTCACCAGGTTTTGCATCATATTTGGTCTATTTGTGAATTCTAAGTATCTATAATCGCCATCCATTTCAAGAACGTACCTCCCACTCCGCCTTGGTCAAGAGATTAATTTGATCACAAGAGTTTTCAGCTTGTACTGTTTCAATTGAAGTCGACTGCACGTCTATATGGTTGCTCTGTGGTTGTTCGCAATCTCGTTTTGCAAGTTCATAATCAATTCTATGGGAATCATGAGTGGGCTCTTTCGTAAGAAGTTTGATAACCCCCCTGTCTTGTGCAAGCAGGTTGTACTTCGCCTGTTCAGAGATATCGGTTCGTTCGCTTCCGAATGCCTGATCCGGTACCCTGTTCTCCTCTCTTGACGTGCTGATTTCCATTTTCTTGCCCTACGATGAATTGAGCAGCTAGATTTCCATCAATGGGTGTGCATTATAAAGTGACAAACCTTGACTTCGTGAAGCAAGCTTTCAGCAGAATACGTCTAATTATAAGTACAGTCAGCACAATCAAATCGAGGTAGGATACGTGGAAAACTCGCCTTCTTCAAGAAATTGTCCTTGGGTACTGAGTTATTCTGCTCATTTAGAATGAGGAAGCTTTGTTCGCCGCGGCGACTGTCATTTTCGGTGTGCTCCTTGACCTTGCATTGATGCAGGGATACGACGTCGACAGAGTCGAAGCCCCTCACCTTTGAGCAATCGAGACATGCAAGTTCTTGTAGTGCAGCATCGAGTTCAGCCTGTCTGACTTGTTCTTGAACACGAAGAGATTGTATCATCATCTGCAATTCCGATTGTTCTTTCTGGATCTGTAACAATTCTTGATTCTTCATATCGAACGCGAGCTCCATCTCATTTCGCTGTTGTCGGAGCACTTCTGACTCTTGACATTTAACCTATGTCAAACATAGAATAGGCAGTCTGTCCTGAAAGCGGTTGATCCATACCTCTAATGCTTTCGAACTAGCCCACTCAACGGTTTGAAGGGAATTTTGAAGCGCGTTGTTTGCAACCTTCATTTCCTGCAAGTTGTGCACAAGGGAATTCTCTGCACCCAGCTTCTCACGCTGAAGAACTTCTACTTCCAAGTTTTTCCAGGTTTCGAAATCCTATGTTTAAGTATGAGCAAGCTGTGCAAATCTGAGAACGGACCTCCTACCGTCATCCGAATTGCAACATTTTGAAAATCCAATGACATAGCATGCAGAGCTGCTTCAAGTTCAATCTTCTCCTTTTCAAGTGAAAGGATCCTAGTATTTGCAAGTCTCTCTCTCTCTTCGATCCCTGCCCGTGCCTTTGTAAGCCCGACAGTTCCGGACTCAATATCAGAAACGTAAAGAGCACGTTTAATGGAAACATACGTTTATCAGGGATTCGTACTCCAGAGCCTTGGAATTCCAAGAGCATTGAGCATCATCCTTTTGCTTCGTAAGGGCTTCAATTGATATCGAAAGCTCGGTTTCTCGCTGCAAGTCTATGTCAACTCGGTTTTGGAAGTTTTCTGGCTCGTTCTACCTTCCGTAGCCGATCAAACTCGTCAGCGTGAAGAGTATCAGCAAGCTGAAACGACAGTGAGATCGTGATCGTACCCGATCTACTAGTTCGTGCTCTCACCTTTACCTCGGTTCGAAGTTCTTGATTTTCATGTTGTATGATTTCTATATTTTCTTTCATAGCGTCCATTGATGTCAAAAGCTCGGTTTCTCGCTGTGAGTCTATGTCAACTCGGTTCTGAAAGATTTCTAACTCGTTCTACCTTCCGTAGCCGATCAAACTCGTCAGCGTGAAGAGTATCAGCAAGCTGAAATGACAGTGAGATCGTACCCGACCTACTAGTTCGTACTCTCACCTTTACCGAAGTTCGAAGTTCTTCATTTTCATGTTGAATGATTTTGAGATTTTCTTTCAAAGCGCATTGTAGATTTTCTGCTTCCGTGAGCCTCGCCTTGAACGATGTGACAGATGACTCAAGCTGAGTATTCCTGAGTCGAACTTCTTTAAGCTCCTCCATCTCCCATTTTTGTTTCGCATGATATGAGTCCATCTTGAGCTAAAGACCAATTGAAGACTGAGATAAAGGAAACAACCAGGACACACACCTTTTGAGATTTTGCAGTGGCCTCCTTGACCTTGAACGGAGATGTCAATTGGCAACTTCATCGATATTTCAGCTGTCTACCTTCAAAGCTTTCTCGAGTTCACACTTCTCGAGGTCTAGAATTCTCAGAGCAGTCTCCAGTTCTTTCTTTATGTCACCGTCTTTCTTCGCTGATTGTTCCCATACACGCTGAATGAGCAGCATATGGACATTGATGAGAATAAAGAGTAATCGCACGCACATTTTTCTTTTGGCATACTGATTTTTGCTCAGCAAGTACCAGAATTTGTGCATTTAATGTATCAATCTTTGCCTTGTGAGCCTTCACGCCGTTTTGCAGACTTTGCTTGTCTATCTGAAGAGACGGATAATGTATGAGCACATACATCGACTAACCTTGCTTACCGACAAATTCTGCACGTCTTGCTTCAAAGTCTCAATATTGTGTGTTAGGTTCTGTTTGATGCGGACATCTCTGCTCGCAATAGACTGGGGACAGGGTTAAGCTTATACAGACCGTAAGATAAAAAGTATCCACCTTGGACTTTTCCAGTTCAATGACAAGATTCTTGACGTGAACACTCTCGGCCTGCAAGAACAATCAGAATTGTGACTGCAAGATTGCATCTGTCAGCCTACATTTATGTGCGCATTAAGACATGATATAGTCCCAATCAATGATTTTTCAGTTTTTGAAGCTTTCACCTGGTTTAACTAGGAATTGATGTCAGCGACATTGGACCCGTAACGAAACCGACTTACATGCAAATCCCGATTCTCTTCATCAAGATCGATGGCGTCTTCCGCTAGCTTTACATTTATGCGTTCGCGGGAATCTTTCTGAAGTGCGAGAGATGTGTTCTCTTCGAGTGTCCGGTTCAGTGTTTCTTTAGTATGAAATAACTCTTGGTAAATGTTCTCGTATTCCTAGTGTGCCCAGTCTTTGTAAATAGAAGTCAATGCCTCGTATGTCCAATCACCTTCCAGAGTCCTTCGAATTCACACTTGAAGCATTGTAAATGAGCTAAAAGGGGTTTTGTTGAGTGCTGCTAATGATTAGTCCAACATAATGTGTCAATCACCAACATTCTACGAACCAAAGCGTCTGTAATTATTGATCCCTCAGATTCTTGGGCCGATTTCCAGCGGTTCAAATTTTGAGAAAGGTTCTAGTAGTATCAGAGTAAATGACAGGAACGTGATTAAAGACATAGCACTTACCTCTATCGCTTCCTCCACTTTTCGTCTCTTTTCACCACACAGAGGCTTCACAATTGGTGGCACCTCTGTCGAAACAGCAACTAGTCGGACTTTCTGTTTCAGTGTTATTAGCGGGTGCAAATAGGACGGGGAGGAATAACGTACGATGTGCTCCGATTCAACCAGATTACACTCTTTAGAACGTCTTCTCTTCATCGTTCGAGTTGCAGCGGGGCTTCCACTCATGGAAAGGTGGTTCGAGCAACGAAGAAGATCGCTTCGGTCTATTTGAAGCGAGACAAAGCAGAGGGCAACGTGTTTATTTCTTTGTTCGTAAGTGCCTGACGAATGACCAACGGTGTTACTGAAAGTGGGAGTATGATGTTTCCATGTCCTTTAGCAGTATCAAGCTCGATAACAGTATCCTTGAAAATTTCACTCAATCGCTCAATTACAGATAAGCTTGTGTCTGAATGGTGTTTCTCCAACATGATTTGGATGTTCTTGAATGAAATATGTTGATCAATATGTAACGAGGAACACTGGAGACGACTGTTCGGGGGTGGAAATAGATTACTTACTGCGTATATTGGCTGGACACGGAGGTAGTTGTTTAAAAACACCAGAGCGCCGTATGCCCGCTCATCGAGCGCTAAATTCATGGAAAAAAGAATCATGTGTCATTCAGCACAAATTCTCTATGACATCGACGGCGGGCGATCGTCAGGATGGAATGAATTTTAAAAGATGAGCGAGTTTGCGTCGTACTTGGTGATTTTCTGACAAAACTATCGAACAACATGCCACAACTACGCTATCACGAACAACTGTATCAAGAAGTGACGAATCTAATCATTCAAAGCTCCCACAAGCTTGGTATTGATACTCCTCCTGCTTCGACCTCTGGTCTGAATGACGCGATAATCTCCTGGAAGCCGTGCAGTTGGTTCAGTTTGAGTTTTGTTCTTCAAGCTGTTTAAGTGGCATTTAATGAAGTCGTTGACAACCCAATGTTTACGATATACATTGAGGAATGGATACTTGTGTACTGCCTGAAGAACAGTGTCAAAGAAGAGCTCTCAGTACGAAAACGATGGACTGACCATTTGCTGTATCTGTTTGATATTCATCAAGCTTTGTTCATCAAAAGATTGCGTGACATCGAGTACTCCTTCGACAGTCTCGCCGATGTATTTCTGTGATGAATAGCTTCTCAGTGAAGGGATGATAAACTGGATGAATATCCAAACCTGTACGGATTCAAATTGATCATTTGTCCAATCCAGTTCCATCCGGAGGCTGTAACCGCCTTGACCAGGTTTAGCCATAACTCCGGGTGGTTTGGAAATCTGATTGTCGGTGGGGTCCAATCGATTACCATTGCCTTGCAGGACCGAAGTACCATTCTGTGTCGACAGATCCGCAAATCGTACTGCCCTTGGAGCACTGATTGTGCGACGACCTGACAAAATTGGTATAGTTTCTTCATTATCGCTGGTACATCCAGCGGATTCACAGAAGGACCGAAAGTTGGGATCTGGGGACAACGAACATCTGTGACGAGGAGAAGGTGGCGTTTTATAAGGAACGGTTCTTCGAACCGCTCTAATAGTTCTCGCGGGGGATATTAGGACGCGACGATCCAGGGAAGGAAAGATGTTTGGGATAAGTAACTCAGTGTGGGCGTAGGCATGCTGGTGAATATGTTGGGTGGCACTGCGTATAGGGTCCATGATGGAAGTGCAAAGGAAAGATATTCTTTGTGAACTGGAATTTTAAGTCTTACATGTAAAACAACGAGCCTTTGTCACAGGTGCTAAGTTTTCGGAAGATTTTCAGAAGGATACAGGTACGTACCAAGTCAGCAGCGAGTTGAAGCAACAGAGTGTGTAATCAGAATCCCGCAAGAGTTTTCTGTGTTGCCTCCATACTCCTCCTCATCGATTAGGCTTGAACAGAGATATTAAAAACAATCTGGCGAACAACTGAACAGGATCATCGCATAGGTCATGAGATCAAGTATGTTATGTAAGCTGACTCGCGTCCAAATTCCTGCGACGCTGCAGACGTGTTTGAGGAACCAGAGGATATTTGTTCTCATATCTTTTCTGCTCTGACTGTACAATTTGTCTGACTCTACAGTTTGTTTTCTGATAGATACATAGCAAGAATACGTAGGATATTCTACTTTGCATTTGAACTTACTAAGAAACGCTGAAGTGGTTCAGATAATCTGAAAGTTTCTCGCCGTCCGTACCATCCAAAGGCGGGGTCCCAAATGGATTGAGCCTAAGTTAGAACAACTGGATGGCATTTCAATTTCTAAGTAACATAAGAATGTCAAGTACGAGTAGGTCCTCGCGTCGAATTAATACTAGACAGGTGACGGTGGTTGGTGGTCGAAATTGATCTTCACCGAGCTGTTGGTCGATGTTCAATGGTAATTGTAGTCCACGTAGAAGTTTCGGCCTCTACAACATCTGACAAAGAGACGCTTGCACTGGTGGCAAAGGGGATTGTCAGAGAGGTCGGTCGATATTTTATGTTTTGTTTAGGAAGCGGAGTGAACTGGGGCGAAGCAGGTTTTGTCGTCAGGTCATACTTCAAAGCTACTGCCTCGAAGATTTGTTCAGGGATAGAGCCTACAGCGTGACCAATAACTTCAGGAATTTGACGGTCCATTGCCGTTGAGTAGACCTGGACACAATAATCGTTACAAAAAACGGTAGACCCAAAATGCAAAACAGCGCACCCATGTAGTGCACACCAACACAGTTGAAAGGAGACCATGGAACAGCAAATATAACCCAACGGCCATGAATAAATAGTAACGAATGGATCGTCCCGGAGAAGGAAGGTTTGTCGCAGTGTTTTCAGGCTTGTCCAATGAAGCATGACTTTTCTTGAATATCAAAACTTCAGCACGGGAATGTAGCGTCGACCCCGCAATCGCAACAAGGAAACCATCCCTTGCGGTAATTGCCTGCATATATCACACAAGAAGAGGTTATAGATAGTCTGAAAGAAGGATTGGAATGATATACTCACAGCAACGGATTGAACAAGACCAGTAGTGGTATAAGGAAGGTCTTGAATTTTGTCACCATCACTAACGTTGAAGATTGACGCATGACCGCGGTCAGTTCCTACAACGAGAACAGACCCATCCTCTGCGTACGTTGCAACTTTGGGGAAAAGGACTATGGGTAGTTCACCTGAGAAGGTCTGCACATGCTCAATGTTTTCGAGGCGGAACATTTCGAAGTCCTTTCCAGTACATGCCACGAAGAATTTGCTCGAGTCATCCAAACAAACAGTGCCCCTGAAATGAATTATTGAGCAGTAAGGACAACCAGAAAAACTAAAATGCACATAGGATCTGGGCCATATTTATGAGTTGACTTAACATTGCCAGTCTTAGCATCGAGCAGTGAACTGTGAAGTGAAGTGAAAGTAAACTTGATGGTGGAAAAGAAAGGGTTAAAAGTCAACTTACATTCCACCCCCGTTCAGCTCAAAGACATAGACATCGCGGTTCTTTTTACAAAACCTAGCGGCGACGAGAGAGAAATTTTCGACGACAGAGGAAAAAATTTCTTGAAGGTCTCCGAAAGGAGACAGCGAATATACAGTAGCTCGGTTGTCGGCAGTCGCGACTGCGATACGAGCGAGCCTCCCAAGTGGAACTTCAGCTTGATAAATGTCGATCGAGAGGACTTGATGAGGAGAACCTTCGTGGGACTTGAAGACTAGGTTCGAAGGACTAAAAACAGAAGGAGGGTGACAAAGGAATCTAGAGGGAATTCGTATGTCACACCTTGGTTTCGTTATCCCAATTCAAAGTCGAGAGTGTGCCTTTCTGAGATCCTATGATAAGAACGTAACAATCCGCCTGTTCAAAGTGTAGCCAAGCACAGGCAGTATACACATTGTCGGGATTGCGGTGATTGTACACATTGTCTGATGATATTGGCAGGTTTTTGTATGTTTCTAGATCCCAGACAGATATACCGCCATATCCTGTGGCATAAGAATGAATGGACGTTGAACGTTTACCATAACAGGGACTACTTACCAATGGCCGCGATGAATCTAGCTTGAGGAGAAAATGAAGTAGAAATGACGGCGTTTCGGGCACCTTTCAAAGTGGCTAAAAGCTCATACATGTCTACCTGCGAAAGGAAATTGTGAGCGGTGAACAATGAATTAAGGTCATATATATACTGCACAGTGAGCCACTGGGAGATGTAATAATCATCAGAGGAAAACAAAAGGAAATCCATGGCGTTCATTGACATCAGGCGCCCTTTGATTCAAGCCCTAACCCTAATTCAACTTGTTTCTGCTGGAACCTTGCTGAGCAACAGTCATCGAGTATGGGCAGCCGAAGGAGGTAACGGAGGGAAATTCATGAAAGTTATTATCATTGGGGACTAGGATACCATACAAAACGTTGAAAACTTCAGTAATAGTAGAGGAAATCTTTCATATTACGCAGCCTATCCATGATCAGGTGAGGAATCATCTAGTAGAGCCGATCGAATGACTGGATAAATGACAAGCAATTGTTTGCTTGGTTGGTGGGACCAGGGAGCGACAATGCCGAGGAAGGTGTCGTGTGCTGTTAAGATCATGCAACCCGTGTAACCGTGCCAGAGGTCACAGAGTATCTAAGTGCGGAATACGAATGGGACAGTAGTGAAGTTATTAACAACACCGCCGTTACGCCGTTAGTCCCCGGAGAGCGAGAGTAGAGAGAGAGGAGCTAAGTAGCAGCCAGGTCGGAGCGGCGGTATCGCCGATGACGAGGAGCGGACCAGAGAACGTTAAAGTCCTAAGGTCGAGGAGAACGTACTTCGAGGCGTTGAGCCTGAAGACTTAGAGGAGAGTTAAGTTGAGAAGGGAGATCTAAGTTGATAATTAAACTGAGGAACTACAGTAGCGTACAGGCAGTATTTATATCTACGGAACGGCGCATCGGTGCGGAGCGCCAGACTAACTACTAGGAGCTGTACGAGTAGTACCTGCAGGGTAGAGTAAAAGACAATAAGAAGGGACTAGAACGAAAGGGTATGTGTAGCGAGAAAGAACAATAAGAGTGAGATTACAATAACGAGTGGATCTTCGGAGTACCGAGCGGCGGAATGGAGGCCCGCGGCATGGACTTGACAGTATCCCCCTCTTAGGCTTGAGCCCTCGAAAGCCATTAATACCGGTAGTTGATTGGTCAACAAGGAAAAATTTTAAAGGCCGTCAGCATCGGGAATTTGGCCCGTCAGTCAGCAGGAAAATTTTCAAAAGCCGTTGGTACCGGGGATTATCGTTAGTCATCCAAGAAAATTTTCGGTACACCGTAAACCGAGTACAACTCGAAGAAAATTTCTTGCTGGTCCGTGCGTAGTTTTGACCCTATAAAAAAGGGCCAGGTTTTGCCGCTATGGCCAAGTTCCCAAAACTCCAAGTACACATGTCCTCTAGTCGCACCACCACCCGAACCACCACTACCGTCGGCTCGATTTCGGTCACCGGCGCCCATCCAACTTCGCCCCCGGCCCCAACTCGCCCTTCAACGCCGGATCCTTCTGACGAGGAACGGGAGCTCGAGCTCCAATTGCAACTCACCAGGGAGAAGAACCGGAAGAGGAAGGAGGAAAAAAGGAAGGCGGAGGAAGAAGCTAGACAGAAAGCAGAGGAGGAGAGGCAGAGGCAAGAGGTCGCCGAGCGGGCCGCTAATGCCAGAAGATTGGAGGAAGAGGCAGCGGAGAAGAGAAGGAGGATTGCGGCAGCCGCGGCAGCGCGAAACCGCCGGGGCCCTTCCCCAGGGGAAGCATCTACTTCCGCTCGTCGAGTGGAAGTAGAAGTTCCTCGGGTGGTTAGGAAAGCCAAGGGCAAACAGAGGATGGAGGTGAGTGATTTCTGCCATATCCTCACCGACTTACTAACTCTAAGTTTTTTAGGCTAGCGGCGGAGATCCGGACGATGGCGGAGATGATGACGATGAAGACGACGATGAGCGAGTTCCCTGCGAACGATGCAGGAACAAGAAGATCCCTTGCCGGATGCAGGCTGGCAAGAGGAGTTCAATTATTTGTAAACCCTGTCACGACGCTAAGGTCAGATGCTCGTACTCCGGGCGGCCTTCGACGGTGAAGCGAGAGGGGGGAGGACAACCGATCGGCGAGCGCCTGGCGATCTTGGAGAGCCAGATGGCTCAGCTGCTGGCAGACAACCGGCAGCTTCGAGAGGGCCAGTTGAAGGACAACACCTACAACCGCCATATCAACCGCAAGTTGGACTGGTTGATGACGGACGCCGCGAGAAGGAGGAAAACGCCACCGGAGATGCCGGAACCAGGACCTTCGCGGCTGCCGAAGAAGAGGAGAAGGGTCGTGGATAGTGAGGAGGAAGAAGAGGATAGGAGGATGGGAGAAGAAGAGGATGGAGAAGGAGAGGAGGAGGTAGAGGAAGAGGGAGAACCGGCGCCGAAGAAGGCCCGGTCGGAGAAAGGGAAGGAGAGAGCGGAGTAGAGTAACATCGGACATCGAACATCGGCCTTCGGCCATCTTCTTGTACTCTTCTTGTTGCCCTGCCTTCGTTATATAATTTTGTTTTTTGGACTTTGTATATAAAAAAAATGTTAACTCGATTTTGAAATCGGAAAGCGAATGGGCCGCGAAGCGGCGTAAGAAGTAATTAGTACGAAGTGTAATTAGTCTAAGTGTGAAAGAAATAT